GACGAAACAGTCGCCTAGGCCCATGACGGCGTCGGGGGTACCCACGGGGGGGTACTCTGCAGGGGCAGCCTCATTAACCTTCCCGAGGTAGGCCAGGGCCTGCGCCCGCTGGAGCGTGATGAACCAGCGCTGGCGGAACTGGTGTAGGAGCTTCGCCGGCTGGTAGGAGCTTGGGTCCGCGTTGAAAAGCCGTCTTGTCCTCGTGTCCGCAAGCAGCTTTAGAAAATCGGGAACCTCAGCGCAAAGGAAGCCATAGGTTTCCACGGCCAAGGGGAAGAAACCGACATAAGGTGCGCGGTTGCGATAATGGTAAATCTTCTTATCGACCTGTTCCCGGGCCATATATCATCGCCCCTTACGTGCGTGCGCATCCTGGGCGCTGATGGGATCCGTGACAGTGACGTCACAGATCCAGACGGCGCCGTAGTCCCTGTCGCGTATGGCTAGGTTGGCCTTATGGCTGTCCACCGGGCTGTAGATACTGGTCTCCTTGGTGATGATGAACTCGGCATCCTACGCCATACGAATGCACTCATCGCGAAGTGCATTGTGGGTGTTTTTCCGGCCATGCCCCGTGCCACAGCAGAAGAGGTGATTGGGCAGCCGAGGGTCAAGGATCTCGGTCTCATCAGCGCAGTTGCAGTTGCGTGGGGCCGGAAAGGGGAGGCCGAGACGGAAGGCGAGGGCGATGGCAAAGTGCGGTGGTCCAAGGCAGAGAAGGCGCAATCTAATCCCCAGCCCTGTAACCTGCTAGGGAGAAAAGGCGCTGGGTATGGCTGGAGCTGGGGTTTCATCCCGCGGGACGCTGCCACCTGGTCCGCATATCGTACGGCTTGGACTTTGAGAGAGAGTCGGTGCTGGAGTGGAGTTCCTGATGGTTCATGGCGTTCTGAGCGCAAGAGCTCTAGCGCACGGGTCGGCATGGCTGCCTCACACCCCGCCAGCCAGGTATGGAGATGGGTGGGGCTGGTGAAGGGGGGGGTGAGGGGGCGGAGTACAGACGCAAGGGGCCCATCGGTCGCTGTGGGCAGGGCGGCGAGGAGTTGCTGCGCCTGGGTGACACTGGTTAGGAAGGCTGCAGGACCTTCGATGGCGGGGTCGGTGAGGCCCAGCCCACCGAGTGAGGGCGGGAGTGAGGCCTGGGCCCAAGTGTGCGCGCGTTCGGTCTCCCCACGAGGAGGTTGGAGGTTGCACGTGCAGAGAGGGGTGTGGAATAGCCCCCGTCCCCACTCGGACCCCTCGGTTTGAGGGAGGAGGTCCAGGGGCGTGGTGCGGGTCAGGTAGCTGACCCGCCATGAGATGCAGCGCGTAAGGAGGAGAGACGCCGTTTGGGGGTCTATGGAGGCGATGGTGGTGAGTGGCTCGGCCAGCGAGGCTAGCTGGGAACGTAGGAAACCAGCGGAGCCCTCCGCTGTCCCAACAAAACTCCCCAGCACCCGTAGCCCCTCGCTGTGGAAAGGGACGTCCGGGGGGAGGACGTCAGATGGAGGAGGTGTGGAGGACCACGCCGCGCACTTGGAGGGGTTGTGCGTGAGACCGATGGCCCCCATGGCGCTCGTGAAATGTTGGAAGGCTGCCGTGCAGGCGGTGGGCTCACCCACGAACGTCACGTCGTCCGCATAAGCGAGGCAAAGGACGTCGGGATGGGCGGTAGCTGTGGATTGGAGAGTGGGGTGGATGGCTGCCACGAAGAGCAAGGGACCCGTGCGCTCTGGAGTAGGGGGCTGCCGAACCCCTCGTCTAGGTATAGTAGCGAGGGGGTGCCATACAAAAATTGGATGAATGGTAATAACGGGCGCATGGACGATACGCTGATGGCGGTGATAATCGCCCCGCACTCAACTCTATTAAAAGCGTTTGTGAGGTCCACTTGGAAGATCAGGGATCCAGGGCGGTCGAAAGTGAAAGCCCGCGTGACGTGGATGATTATTTCCCCGCCACTCCGGATTGCGACCCCGAACTGGAGGGGCAGGAAGAAATCCTGTGCTGGCTGGGTGGTCGAGACGAGAGCGGATTTGGCGGCGAGGCGATGGAGGCACTCACCTATAGCTATGGGGCGTGTGCCACCGTCAGGCTTGGGAAGGGCGAGGAGGCGGGACACAGTTAGAAGCTGGCTGACCTCCTTCGGCAGGTTACCGTTGAGGAGGAGCTGCACGATTTCGTGCAAGTGCTTGGCGACGGATGGATTGGTGAGTGAGGCGTCGCAAAGATGCTCAAATGTCTTCCCTGAAGGGCCAGCTCCTACCCCGTTTTCGCTTCGCGAAAGGAGGCGCACGAACTCGGCGAACTCAATGCCGGGTGGGTTAACGTCGTCCAAGGAGGGCCACGCAAGGTCCTCCGTCAATGGCTGCGGGTGTTTGGACTTCAGCGAGTCAAGAACATCTGGGGTTGACTCGCTGACTGGGGTCGAATGGAGTGCCAGCAGGTCGCGGCGAAGGCTGCCATGCCGCACCAGCCCCTCGGCTCCGGAGATTTCCCCAGGTCGTCACGAACATGGTGGGGGGGTGCTGGGAGTGTGACAGTTGCTGCAGCTGACTGGTAGAGGGCGTCCCATTGGCCTGCGAGAAACTGCTGTAAGCGGTTTTCCATCGCCGGCCAATCCGGTCGTTTAGGCGAAGATAGACGATGAGTTAGGCGTGGGAGGAAAAGTAACAAATGCCAGCCCCCGATTGAAGTTGGATTTTTGGCGAGGAAAAGAAGGGGCGTCAGCAGGGCCAACGCAAATAGCTAACGAATAGGGGGGGGTAACCGCCTCGAAAGAGGGGGCTGGCGGCTGTCGCACAGCACCGCGATATCCCAGCTGGCTTTTGGGCGAATCGTGAAGCATCGCTGGCCAGTTCTTCAAGGGACAATTGCCTGGCTGCCTGGGAGGGAGAGGCCAGCGGTGCCCGAGCATCCGGCGCGCCAACAGGTCCAGTGCCTCTGGATCTGGGAGAGGGGTTTGGGATCCCGCTCCCTGTCCACCTTGGTGCCCTTATCCTCCAGTACTTCACTGGACTCCTCTGTGGTCGATTCCAGGTGCAATTCCTGGATATAAGTGCTGTCTCTCCTTTCCTCCTCGTCAATTGCATCCCTTAGTCCCATCTCCCTTAAAGCTTGATTCGCAGCCTCCTGGAAACCGTTCAGCAGGCTGCCGTCATGCGACAAGTCGCCTGTCCGACCTCGACTGCGCCCGCGCCCTCGGCCTCCCCAGCCCCTAGTGCCGCCTTCCCTGCCTCTGCCGCGTCCCTCTGTCCCTTCAGCCAACGCACGCCGTCCAATCCGTCGTGGGGGGGAGGGCGCAGGAGGCGCTTGGGCCCACGATGAACCCCCCCCCTTGGAGGCGGGGGGAGGGGAGCGTCCCTGCTGCGAGCGCTCCCACGATCTGGAGAGCACTGGGGAGAGCTTCCCCCGCCGAGATCGGCCGAACTCGTCGCCACAGTTGAACCACGGTTGGGAGCGCAGGCTCCCCGTCCCATCGACGAGCCGTCAGCAGACCCCAAAGCGCATGTCCGGGCGGTCGGGGAGCCGCCACGTAACCCCACAGCGGTGCGAGCGGAAGACCCTTGGGCGCGCGGGCCGTGGCCGGCAGAGTGCGACGCCGCAACGGCAACGGCAGCAGCAGCAGCCGCAGCCGGACCCTCCGCGCCAAGGGACGCCCCAGCGCGCAGCGCAGGCGCCGCCCGCTCAGCAGTACCGGACGCCGCAGGGCAGCGCGGGCAGACCTGCCAGTGCTGCGGGAGGAGAGCTGGCAGAGGGAACGGTCGGGGTTTGGCTGCGGAGAGGCGGCTGGGCCGCGCCGCAGCGACATTGGAGAGCCTGTTCCGCTCGGTTGCCCCGCCTCAGCCGCCGCCTGCATACCCGCCACAGCAATATCCATCCGCGCAGGTGCAGCCATTGCATTTCGCCCCGCCGCAAATGCCACCTCAATCCCTTCCACCGCTCGTGTTCGCGGCACAGCAGCCACTGCCCTGCCAGCAGCACCCTCTGCCGCATCCTCCCCCTGTCCCCCAATACCAGCCCCTGCAGCCACCCTGGCTTCACTACATGCTGCGTCCGCCGGCTGCACCAAGGGGAGTGTCGACAGTGGGGACGCTGCCAAGCTGGCAGCCCCCACCGCTGGAGGCATCGGCAGTGGGCTGGCACGATGGCCACGCCGTGTCGTGTCCTTTGGCGCACGGGCGGCTGCGCCGTTTGTTCCCCCCTGGCGGGCGATGGCCTCGCCGACTGGAGTTGAGGGGGGGGGCAGAAGCAGCGGAGATGGGGGGGGCGAAGTCCTCGGGTGAGGGCTCTCCATGTGAGGGATCGGGGCAGCGCCACTCGGGCGGAGTGCGGATGCCGCCGAGGGTGCATTTGGAGCGGCTGCGAGGGCGGGAGCATCTTGCAGAGACGGCGGTCCCAGTCGCCACGCTTCGTTGGCTCTGGCACGCGCGGCGGGCGATGGGGATCGCTCTGAGGATGCTGACGAACTCGCACTCAGTGCTACAGAACTTAGCGAGCCCGTGCAGGATGCCCCATGATCCCCTTCGCAGCTGTGCGATGGCTGCAGCTGATCTCGCAGACGTGTCGACGCGAGTGCAGCCTGCGCCCGCCCCGGGAACAGTGTTGGACCCCCAGCTGCTCGTCGTGATGCGTGCAGTATCGGCAAGCATAGATTCTGCTGCAGCTGTAGACATCGTTGGCGGCGCCATGTCAGCGCTCCAGCTCCTGGTGGGCTACGTGACGGTGCTGCTGGAGGAAGCGGGAGCAGACCAACTTGTGTGACCGGCTCCCTCCGCACGTACGTGTGCGTGGGAGACGAGACCTCCAGCGCGGGTACCTCGGTACGGCAGATTAGGCTCTCCATGTCACACATGTAGGATGTCGGAAGTGTGTGCTTGTGGGTCCTTGGGGCAGTGTTTGTTGTATCCTCGTGTCATCAAGTTGTTTGTTGAATAATTGCCGCCCCGGATCGCGCGACCCGCCACCAAGGGAAGGAGAATCTCAATAATAGAAAACTAAACAAGGAGAATGAGCTAGGGAGAGGGCTGAAATAGCTAGAGAGGGAATCATGGTCTCTCTCTCTCTCTCTCTCTCTCTCTCTCTCTCTCTCTCTCTCTCTCTCTCTCTCTCTCTCTCTCTCTCTCTCTCTCTCTATCTCTCTCTATCTCTCTCTCCCTCTCTCTCTCTCTCTCTCTCTCTCTCCCTCTCTCTCTCTCTCTCTCTCTCTCTCTCTCTCTCTCTCTCTCTCTCTCTCTCTCTCTCTCTCTCTCTCTCTCTCCCCCCCCCCCCCCCCCTCTCTGAGCCGCCACCAAGGGAAGGAGAATCTCAATAATAGAAAACTAAACAAGGAGAATGAGCTAGGGAGAGGGCTTAAATAGCTAGAGAGGGACTCATGGTCTCTCTCTCTCTCTCTCTCTCTCTCTCTCTCTCTCTCTCTCTCTCTCTCTCTCTCTCTCTCTCTCTCTCTCTCTCCCTCTCTCCCTCTTAACGAGCTATCCCACCCCCTCTCTTGGCAGCGGGACTATGCCACGGTCCAAGGGCAGATCGCGCAGACGACGAGCATCATCTAGAGACGATACGTCGACTGCGGCGACGACATCAGCGGATCCCCGAGGGAGCGGCTCGTGCAGTTCATCATCCGTCACTGTCATGGCAGTTCCAGCAACGTCACTGTTGATGGGGTGGATTCAGACGGCCGGCCAACAACCTTCACCGTAAGTCTTAACTACGCCGAGCTGGACGGCTACCCTAGGAACGGAAGTCACAATGCTTGCGTGGATGACTGCACGGAGATGGCGGAGGAGACTGTGCGTCACCTGGAGTCGAGGTTTGGAGACCTGGAGCAGCTGTATCACTGCCGGCTGTTCTCTGCTGACTCCTGGTCGACGAACTGGGAGCGCAGCATCAGGAGCGCGCAGTGTCTGGAGTGGTACTGGCAGCTGATCAAACTCTTCCGTGGTTAGGAGAACCCCGAGGTCCTTCCAGGTGCTGGAAATCCGGGAGGACCGCGAATCATAAACGCATGTGTCCGCTCCACCTTGAGCCTCGTATCCATCCCTGGTTAACAGTGTTCCCTTCCCCATGTGCGTGGTTTGATGTGTTGCAGGCGTTGACAAAAGAGGGGCGGAGAAGGAACCGCGGCACTTCGTCCCCATGTTGGCCCGTCTCAGCCCTGCGGACAAGAAGTTCTTCATGGATCTCACGACAGTGCTCAAGACTGCTGACTGGCAGATACATTACCCCGACCTGGTGGGGTTGTGGGTGGCTGTGGCGGTTCTGCCACTCAGTACTGTAGAATGTGAGCGGGGTTTCTCCCGACAGAATCTCATCAAGAGCTGGCAGCGGGGTAGTCTTAAGGATACAAGGTTATCTGACTTAATGTGCATGTCGATGCTAGACTATGCGCCGGACTGGGATGTCAAACATATATTGTATGTTTTTGTAGACTATATAGGGTTGTGCCTTAGGGAGTACAACCCATTAGGTCATATTCCCTTGTATGCCTTGTTCCAGTCATTCTTTCACTTGAACATGGTATCATGAGTAGGTAGGTCCCCCCGCCCCCCCAAGCGCTTCCGCCCTAGGTCCTAGCCGCCTCGTCGCCCCGTGGCCCGTCACCTAGCGGCCCCATGGCCCTGTCACCTAGTGGCTCCGCGGCCCCATCCCCTAGCGGCCCCGCGGCCCCGTCCCAAACAGTCCCGCGTCCCCGTCTCCTCGCGGCCTCGTGGCCCCGTCCCCTAGCGGCCCCGCGGCCCCGTCCCCTTGCTGCCCCGTGGCCTCGTCCCTAGCTGCCCCGCAGACCCGTCCCCTAGCAGCCCCGCGGCCCCGTCCCCGTAGCCGGCATCGTCGCCTAGCCGACCCCATCTCCCTGTCGGCCCCGCCTCGTTGCCGGCCTCGTCGCCTTGCCGCCTGCGGCCCCGTCTTCTAGACACCTCGCCGCCGTCTTCGGCTCCTCTGCACCGTGCTGCACCGCTCGGCACCGCTGTGCACCACACTGCACCGCACTGTACTGCAGTGCACCGCCCTGCACTGTGCTGTACCATAATGCACTGCACCCTACCATACTGCGCCTCCCTCCACCGCACAGTACCACTCTGCACCACACATCACCGCTTTCCGCCACGCTCTCCTGCCCAGTACTGTCATTCTCCTGCTGCAGCAACCATGATGGCGGACTCGGTCCTGCGTTTTGATGCTGAGGGGCAGCCGATTGAGTTCGACTCGTGGCTCATCGACCTCTAGCGACACCTGACTGGTCAGCGGCTGGACGACCACTCCCGGGCCGTCCACATCGACGGTACGCTCCCCTGCCCGGACCTCCCTGCTGCCCTCCCCGTTGACCCCACCTCTGTTGACCGTGAGTCCGTTGGAGCTGCTGCCCTTGCCCGTGCTGTCTATTTGTCTCGTGACGTTGTCTAGTTGCGATTAGTCATGCCCTTCCCCTGTCCGAGCGCCCACGCTATAGGTCCGTCAGGACTGCGCAGGAGTTCCTAGAGGCTGTTGTTGCGCGCTATTCCACCCCGCCCTTTGCCTCCATAGGTCGCCTGATCCTGCCCATGCTCTTTCCTAACCTTGCGTCTTTCCCCACTGTCGTTGACCTTGCCACCCACCTGGGCACGCTAAACACGACCTGACGCGCTGCCTGCACTGAGGCCCAGCTTCGTGTGTTTCAGCCCCCCATTTGCTCTACCCTCTACCTGCTTGCCACCCGCCTCCTTGTCTGTCTTGCGATCACTTCCTTAGTCTCCACCCCGCTGACCTCACCCTCACTCACTTTGTCGACACCCTATCTGCCATAGAGACCCGTCAGCGCTCTATGGCCCAGTCTAGCGGTATCGTGCTAGTCTCTATCTCTTAGGGCTGTGCCCCTACTCAGTGTTCTTACTCCGATGGTTCTGCTGCGGTTGCTGAGACAGCTTCGGCTGTGGAGACAGCCGCCGCAGTGTAGTTTCATCCGGGTAAGGGTCGCCGCCCCAAGGTTGGGCGCGGCGGAGGTATCAGAGGAGGGAATTGTGCCAGTGGTGGAGGTGGCTCGCCCGCCGGTAGTACTGACGAGGGGGCTGAGGCTGGTGCCCCGGAGCAACCGCCCTAGCAGCAGCAGCAGGCTCTGCAGCTGGACCAGCAGCAGCAGAGGGTCGGCCGTCTCCCGCCCGGGTGGCCTAGAGCTGGAGGTGATGGTGGTCGCAGTGGTCGCTCGCGTGACGTGTTGTCGGGTGGTAGTCCGAGTGACCGGCGCTGCCAGTACCAGCTCCAGACCAGTCCTTGCAGCGGCCTCGTGTGCAGTAAGATCGGTCATACCCCCGCTCGTTGCTTTCGTCGCCTAGACGACCTGTCTCGTATCCGCTTCAGCCCGTCGTGTGACCTCCTCGACTGGCACAGTCTGCTCCGTCGTCAGGTTTAGATCTTTGATATGGACATGGATGAGATAAGCTCTGCTTTGTATGCACTGTATGTTGATGACTCTAGTGTGACTGGTTCCCATTACCCTGTGTTGCCTAGCGTAGGTGTGCCCAGTGTGCCTAGTTCAGGCTCCCCTGTTGCGTCAGGCATAGGATCCCCAGGTTTGTTTAGCCTAGTGTCCTCCCTCGCTCCTCCGACCTCTGTCGCCGCTGCCGCGCTGTCCTTCACCCTGGACTCTGGCGCTTCCCGGTGTTTCTTTCGCGACTCCATGACACTTACGCCGCTTGCCGCTCCTGCTGCAGTTGCTCTTGCAAACCCTTCCTCCGGTCCTGTATTTGCACGTAGCTCCACTTCTCTCCCCTGTCCGGCGGTTCCGTCAGGCTCCCGTAAAGGCCTGCACATCCCCTTGTTCTCTAGGAACCTAGTTTGTGTCGGCTTCCTCCAAGACCTTGGCGTCACCACTACGTTCACTAGGCACGAGCGGTACACTGTCTGTACTGAGGCCGCCACTGGTGCCTCCCTCACCACGTTCCCCCGGGACCCGGTGTCTAGCCTGTTCACGCTAGACACCGCGTCCCCCCCGGTTGGGACGCCTCCCCAGGTACCTGCATCTTCCCAAGTTGCTGCGGCGTGCTCGTGTCGGTCGCTTACTCACCCATCACTTCTGTGGCACCACCGTCTAGGTCACCCCGCCCTCACCCGTCTCCGTCACATGTCCCAGCACCGTTTTATCCCAGGCCTCCCTGAGTCGTTCCCTTCGCTCCCCTCCTCATCCGCGCCTCCGTGCACGCCCTGTGTTGAGGGCCGGCTCCGCCATGCCCCTCACTCCTCGTTCCCCCCTACCTCCGCATCGCTGCAGACCCTGCACATGGACGTCTGGGGCCCCGCCCCCGTCCATGGGCCACGTCGCGAGCGCTACTTCCTAGTGCTTGTCGACGACTACACCCGCTACACCACCGTCTTTCCCCTGGAGCAGAAGGCTGACGTGCCTGACGTTCTTGTTCCGTAGCTTGTCTCTGCACGTGTTCACCGAGGTCTCCTTGTCTTGCGTCTTCACTCCGACCATGGTGGCGAGTTTGCCTCTGGCTGCCTTGGTCGCTTCTGTCGTGCGGAGGGCATCACCCAGACGTTCACCCTGCCGGACTCCCCGCAGTAGAATGGGGTCGCTAAGCGACGCACCGGTTTGGTCATGGAGGTAGCTCGTACCTCCATGATCCATGCCGTTGCACCCCATTTTCTCTGGCCCTTTGCCGTTCGCTACGCCGCTCACCAACTTAACCTCTGGCCGCACCCTCAGCGGTCGCAGGTTGCGCCGACCCTCCTCCGGAACGGGTCCCCTGGTGACACATCTGCGTTCCACGTCTGGGGCTGCCTTGCACACGTCCGTGCCTCTAGCACGTACAAGCTCACTGCCCGCACTGTCCCCCGTGTCTTTCTAGGTTTCCCCCTCGACTCGTCGGACTGGCAGTTCTACCACCCGCCTTCTCACCGGTTCTTTCACTCTCGTGACGTTACTTTTGACAAGTCCGTCTCCTTCTACCACTGCTTTCCCCACCGTGATCCCCTGGTCACTCCCCCCAAGTTCCTTGTGCCCCCCCTCCCCCGGTCGACCTTGTCCACCCCCCTCCTTGCCCTGCCCCATCTGGTGTATCTCACATCACCCCCCTCCTGTCAGTTGTCCGTGCTGAGGAGTCCGCTGACTCTCGCAGCTCGGCAGAGTCTCTTCCCTTGCCTGTCTCTGCCCGGGTCTCGCCTCCCCTGTCGCCGTCGCTGCTATCCCCACCGCAGCCGCCTCCGCCTCTGCCGCCACAGCCGCAGCCGATGTCGTCACCGCCGCTGAGGTTCGTGCATTCTGGGGGTGCTGGGGAGCGGGCTTGAGCTGGTTCTCGAGCGGGCTCTGGGGGTGCTGGCATGGGGCTTCTCGGAGGGAGCCGTGTTGTCGCTGGAGGTTCGGGTATTGGATTCGGGCAGCAGTCACAGCTGTTGACGCCGGTGTCCGCTCTTCACCTCCTCGGTCTCCCTTCCCCTGACCGCCCGTCGCTGCCTCCCCCGCTGCCGCCGCCTCCTCCTTTACCGGTCCACGGCCCCGTATTTCCTCCCGCGGACTCCGCTCCGGCTAGTTTCCCTCCCCGTTCTCCTCCTGTGTCTCCTCCCCTCTCTCCTGACGCGCCTCCTCCATCTCACGTCTGGTCTCGTCGTCTGTCTCGTGCTCGTCCTACCTCCCATGTTCCGCGTTCTCACCCTATGTTGCTGCGCTCTCACGCGTCTTGTGCTCCTCCTCTCCTCCCGTCTCCTCCTCCGTCATCGCTTGCTGTGGCCCCACCTCCGTTCTCGGACTTCCTCCGTGCTGCGGGTCCCCTTGTTCCTCATGTCCTTGCCTCTCTCGTTACCGACCTGTCCGTTCCAGTCTCGAGTCTGTCGGCTCTTGTCGCTGCTGTCACCGACTTTGCCGCTACCCGCAGCCTGGACTACGCCACTACTCTAGTCTCTGACTCTGCCTGCCCTCCGACCGTCGGGGGTGTGGCTGCTCTTGGCAGTGACGTCCTAGAGGACAGGCAGTTCAAGCTCGCTTTCCTGTCTGAGGCCGCTCCCCATCTCTGTTCCATGCTACTAGTCCCTGAGAGTGACCCAGACGCCCTCGCCATCCCAACCCATCGCACCTACGCTGAGGCCACCTTGGGACCCTGGGCCTCGCAGTGGAGAGCTGCCATGGAGCAGGAGATGGCATCTTGGAGATCCACCGATACCTTTGTCGACACAGTTCCCCCACCTGGGGTGAACATAGTCGATGGCCGGTGGCTCTTCAAGGTGAAGCACCCTCCTGGAGAGCCGCCTGTCTTCAAGGCGCGCTACATCGCTCGAGACTTCAGTCAGCGTGAGGGGGTGGACTTCTTTCAGACCTTCGCCACGACCCCGAAGATGACCACTCTTCGGGCGCTGCTACACGTAGCACACAGCGTGACTACGAGCTGCACTCCCTCAACATCTCCACAGCTTTCCTCCAGGGCAATTTATACGAGCAGGTCTACTTGCGCCGCCCCTTGGGCTTCTCCAGTACCTTCCCCCTTGGCAACGAATGGCTCCTCCGACGCCCTGTCTACGGCTTGCGACGAGCGCCCCGTGAGTGACACGACACGCTGCGTGCTACACTTGCTGACTAGTAGTTCTTCCCTTCGTCTGCAGATGATCTGGTCTTTGCTACTGCAGACAGAGACGCACCGGCCACCGTGAAGGCCGAGCTGCTGAGGAGACATACCTGCACTGACCTAGGAGAGTTGCGCCGCTACCTTGGCTTGCAGATCTCCAGGGACATAGCAGCGCACACCATCAATCTCTCACAGTCACACTTGGTGCGCCAGGTCCTTCAGAGGTTCGGCCTTCAGTTCTCTTCCGCACAGCCCACCCCTCTGCCAATAGACCACAGAATCTCTACCCCAGTACTTGAGGAGGCTGTAGAGCCTACTAGTCCCTACGCAGAGCTGGTGGGTTGCCTCATGTACCTGATGACTTGCACTCGTCTAGATCTCGCATACCCTCTCAGCATCATGGCTTGCTTTGTGGCCCAAGGCAGACACCGACAAACTCCAGTAGCGGCGTCTGTCCAGTAGCGGCGTGAGTAGCATTATTGTAGGCAAACTCCAGGAAGAGCAGATGCAAGTCCCATTTTGAGATTTCGTCCTTGCAGGCTGCGCGGAGGAGTTGCTCCACAATTTGGTTGAGGCGCTCGGTCTGTCCATCTGTCTGCGGATGGTAGGCGGATGATATGGCGAGTTTGGTCTCGAGCAGAGACATCAGTTCTTTCCAGAATTTTTTGGTGAACTTTGGGTCTCGGTCGGAGATGAGTGTGGTCGGAATGCCATGTTGTGAGATGATGTAGCGAACAAAGAGTTGTGCCATCTCCTCGGTGCGTGCTGTCGTGTGTATCGGGATGAAGTGTCCCATTTTGGAGAACTTGTCAATGACGACGAGGATCGCATCATGACCGCTTGTGGTAGTTGGTAGCCCAGTGATGAAGTCTAGGCTGACCACTTGCCACAGCTGTTCTGGGACAGGAAGAGGCAGCTGCTCCACGGCTTCCTGGTGCTTCGGCTCCCATTTATAGGGCGTGTTCTTTTTTAGCAGATTCGTGATTGGTGCGGCGATTTTCGCGTATTGTGGCACGAACCTGTTGTAGTAGTTAGCGAAGCCAAGGAACTGCTGTAACTCCTTCACATTCTCGGGTGTCTTCCATGTACGCACGGCTTCGATTTTCTTGGGGTCGACGTGAACTCCTTGAGCGCTTACGATATGTCCGAGAAATTGGACTTTCTCGAGGGCGAAGTCGCTCTTGGATAGTTTGACGTAGAAGCGTTCTCGTCGAAGAATCTCGAAGACGCGTCGTAAGTGTTCGACGTGCTGTTGCATGTCGCGCGAGTAGACGAGAATGTCATCCAGGTACACCACCACGCATTCGTCCAAGAGTGGGCGTAGGATGTGATTCATCTCTGCTTGGAACGTTGCATGTGCGTTGGTGAGTCCGAACGGCATCACCAGATACTCGTACGATCCGTATCGAGTTCGGAAGGCAGTTTTGTGAATGGAATCGTCCGCCATTCTTATCTGCTAGTATCTGCACCGCAGATCTAATTTTGAAAATACCGTGGCTCCCCGAAGCTGGTCGAGCAGATCATCGATTCGTGGAATCGGGTACTTGTTCTTGATGGTCTGCTTGTTGAGAGCTCGATAGTTAATGCACATGCGCAGGCTTCCGTCCTTTTTCGGTGTGAAGAGTACTGGGGCACTGTATGGTGAAGTGGATGGTCGGATGAGTCCTTTGGCGAGGAGATACTCGATGTGCTTCTTCATGTCGGCTAGCTCTGTAGGGCTGAGCCGATATGGTGCTCGGAAGGTCGGCTTTGAACATGCTTCCTCCACAATCCCATGTAAGTGCGTTCGGTATGGTGGTAGCTCGTCCGAGAGGTCGTCAAGGAGAATGTCTTGGAACTCCTTCAGTAATTCCTTGATTTTTCCTGGAGGTTCCGAGGTCTTCTCTCCGTCGGTTTCCACCTCTATTGTTATCGCCCGGAATCCGGTGTTGGTTTGCTTGACGTCCTTCTCGAATCTGGCGAGTGTCTCCACTGGGATATCTCCTGTATCGTCGTAGTTGGGTAGCTGGACTCTCCTTCCTTTGTTGTAGATGCTTGCGGTGCGGTTTTCCCAGTTGATCTCGGGGTTGAATCGTTTTAGGAAGTCTCGTCCGAAGATCAGGTCAAGCCCTTTGGTGTTGGTGATGGGGAGAGCAGGTTTCCAGTGCAGTGGCCCGATTTGTAGGTGTAGCACTGCTTCGCCGTATATTGGTAACTTGCTACCGTCCACCATCGTTGCAGAAAACGCTGATGGCTTGTACTCTTCTCGAAGTCGGTCGATGGTTGCCTTGTTGCATACGGTGTGCGATGCTCCGCTGTCCACAAGTGCTTTGAGGCGTCGTCCTTTGCAGATGACCTCGAGCATGAGGGGCAGGCGTTGCTCGGAGTACCTGAAGATAGTTTCATTGATTAGGTGATAGGGTACATCCCAATATTCGTTGCTTCCTACTCCTAAGCTGGCAGCTGGCCGAGGCTGCTTGGAGAAAGGCTCTTCTCCAGGGCCTGGTGTTTCCGTAACGTCTGTTCGTGTCGTTGAAGAAGTTGCCAAGTTGGATGCATCCGAAGGAGTTCGGGGTTTTTGCAGCTTCTTGTAGATCCCCAGCTTCCTTTTGAGCTGCTTCAGCTCCACTGACGTTTTCCCTGAGGAACGGGTAGTCGCTGTGGGCTGGTGTCAGGGGAGGACGTTGACTCCGTGGAAAGGTCGGCTTCTTTCCACACTCCTTAATTTGGTCCCCAAGTTGTCCGGTACCGGTATGATCTCCACAATTTTCTGCTTCTTCTGGAGTCCCTCCCGAAATTTCTCCGAGGCTCTAGCTCCTTGAGAAATACAAGTTTTCATTAAAGCATCTTTATAGGATAACTTTAACAAATCCTTATAATTTCTTGGGTCTTCAAGGAGTTTCCCCGTCTCGGCAGGGTCCTTTTTCGCGAAGTTCGATTTTTCCTCGGCGAATTCCTCTGGCAAAGACTGGTCGTAGGGTGGAGATTTTTCCCCATCATTTTCTCCTGTTCACGTCGAATCAGCTGCATCGAAGTTGATTTTTCCAGAAGTCTGCGGCCGCTTTTGGATCTTTTCTTTTTCACCAGCTAGATCCGCAATTACTGGCGAGTCCCGTTTTTTGGCTTCTGATTGGCCGAAGGATTTCCGCCACCGTTGCGTGCCCGATACTCGGCGCGTGCGGCTTTCATTTTGTTGCAATCGAAGATTCGATGACCCGGCACCCCACAAAAATCACACGTGTAGTTGGTGATTTTCGGACGTGGCCGTCCGTCGAACCTGTCGATTTCCATCGGGTCGGCGAACGTGGGGTGAGCCGAGAGGTCGCCCTGTCGCGTACTGCCAACGTGCGCCCGTCGTGTCCCGGCGTTGACCATGTCGAAGCGTTCCGTGGCCGATACGACGTCACTGTAGCTCGCGTAGTTTGTCGCTGCCACTTGTCGTTTGACTTCGGTCTTCATCCTGGCGAGGTACGACTGTACTTTTTCCCCTTCGGTCAGGTCGGGAATTCGGTTATAAAACTCCTCCATCTGCTGTGTGTACTGTGCTACACTCCCGAACTGTCGATGGCGATGGATTTTTTTCCGAGCAAGGAAACCCGAATTTATCGGCTCGAAACGTTTCAGCAGGTCGGTGCGGAACTGCTGCCACGTGGCTTCGCCGTGGATGAAGGTGATGTTACCGCCGATCCATTCGATTGCCGGCCCTCGCATCAGCGTCGCTGCGAGTCGTACGCGTTGACCGTCCCAGACTGGCGAGCTCCATCTGACGGCTGCGAAGTAGATCTCCATGCCGACGATCCATCTGTGGATGTCGGAGTTTCGATCGCTCGGATCGAACGGCTCAGGTGGGCGCGATTTCGGAGCCTCGAGAAACTGCTGCAGCTGCCGCGTCGTTGCTGTTGTCGTTTCGTGTTGCGCTCCGGCGAGTCGAGTTACGCGCTCAAACTCGTTTCCCCACGCTTCGCGATCCACTCGCATCTCACCGTGAAGGGTTGCGATGCTCGCGAAGAGCTGCTGGGTAACCTCGGCGTTGTCGAAGTTTGACATCCTGTTCAAAACCTGCGCGGGGGGGGTAATTCGAAAAAGCGCGGAGCTGGTGCTTACCAGAATCGGCGTCGAATTGGTCGCCCCTGGCGTTTTTTCGAGGCAGGTTTTCCCGCTGCTGCCGCTTTGTTGAGCGCGACCGAGTGAGAAAGCTCTGATTACCAAGTGTTACAGGATCGAATGTGTCGAGGAAAGGTTGCACTATCGATCAGTACAAGGCGCTTTTATACTTCCAAAGTACATCAAGTAGCCAGGTAAATCTTATCCCAAGGGAATAGACCCTTTTAGAAAATAGAATCACCCTGCGTATAGCCACGCGAGGCTATTGGCTTTAAGGGATTACGGCAAGATTACGCTAGATATAGCGTACGAGTACATCCCGAGCCTGGTCGGTGATATAATGATAATAACGGGATAAACCAAAGGTTTATGGAAAAGGAGAAATAGGAATCCAAATGGAATGAGGTAAAAACCAAATGGATCAGGATAAAAAGAGAAATGGAATGGAAGGGAATATGGAAAGGAGAGAGGAATGGAACGGGGTCGTACTCTCACAGACACGACACGCTACGTGCTACACTTGTTGACTAGCAGTTTTTCCCTTCGTCTGCAGACGATTTGGTTTTTGCTATTGCAGACAGAGACGCACTGGCCGCCGTGAAGGCCGAGCTGCTGAGGAGACACACCTGCACTGACCTAGGAGAGCTGCGCCGCTACCTTGGCTTGCAGATCTCTAGGGACATAGCAGCACGCACCATCACTCTCTCACAGTTACACTTGGTGCACCAGGTCCTTCAGAGGTTCGGCCTTCAGTTCTCTTCCGCACAGCCCACCCCTCTGCCAGTAGACCACAGACTCTCTGCCCCAGTACCTGAGGAGCCAGTAGAGCCTAGTGGTCCCTACGCAGTGCTGGTGGGTTGCCTCATGTACCTGATGACTTGCACTCGTCCATATCTCGCATACCCTCTCAGCATCATGGCTTGCTTTGTGGCCCCAGGCAGACACCGACCACAGCACTGGTCGGCAGCTAAGAGGGTTTTGCGTTATCTAGCAAGTACATCGGGCATGGGGCTAGTGCATTGAGGGCGGAGACCAGTGGTCCTTACCGGCCACACAGACGCTTCTTGGGCAGACTATGCCGAGACTCTCAGGTCCTTACAGGGCTACTCCTTTTGCCTTGGTGCTGGTGCCATCTCGTGGAGGTCCACCCGTTCCTCGTCTGTTGCCCAGTCTAGCTGTGAGGCTGAGATCTATGCAGGTGCCATGGCGGCACAGGAGCTCCGCTGGCTGACCTTCTTGCTCATTGACTTGGGTGAGCGGCCTAGCTCTGCCTCGGTTCTGTATGCTGACAACAGGGCCATGATCCTCCTATGTCAGGAGCCACGACTTGAGGGCAGAGCGAAGCACATCCAGCGGCGGTACTTCCTCCTGCGCAAGTTGCAGCAGCGTCGCCAGGCTCGTGTAGTACACTTGGCCTCATGTGCCAACACAGTTGATATCTTTACTAAGGCGCGCCTAAAGATCATCAGCGGCACTGTGTATAGCTAGGTCTCGTTCCTGTAGCCTCTCACTTGTTAGGACCTTGATTGTGTACAGACCTTTTTATATATATTACCTTGACTGACCTTGTGGCCTCTTCCCAGTGGTTGGACTAAAAGTGGCACCCTGTTTTTGCTCTTGCCTTGTCTGTACTTGTTTGACTGGTCTTTAGACCCTTGAGCTGTTTCTTTAGACTCAGAGGCTGGACTAGTAGTGCCACCCTGAGCTGTTTCTCTCATTGGGCACTGCCCCTATCCAGTATAGGGGGTGTGTCAAACATATACAGTATTGTATGGTTTTGTAGACTATATAGGGTTGTGCCTTATGGAGTACAACCAGGGCTCTGGCTAAGGTTTAGGGAAGCCTTTTTAGTCAGGGCCAGCACCCCGCGTTACCCTTTTGCATCAGGGTCGTTGGCAAGCGCACCCTAGGTTTTGCAGGGTGTTTTGAGCGTTCACTCTTTCCCTTCAGGGTAAAGTTTTGTCGCACTCTATCATCTATTTGAGACTTGGTGTTACAATGTTTAGCATGTGTATGGTTTGCATGCCTACTGCACAGTGAATTCAAAATGTTGCCATTAAAACTGTCCACCACATTCAGCACTCCAGGAACAAGTAACACTTAATCATCCGCAGGCTTGGGGTTGCTACTAGAGCTTCCGCGGGAATAGACAGGAGGGGGGAGTGGGGTGAGTGAGATCCTTAGCCTGCCGTCGAGGCTTGTTAAACCAAATGTCAACCACTGCCAGCCAGTCAATCTCATCTTCCAAGAGCGAGATGGTCATGAGCTCCCCCAGGCGCGATTCCCCCAGGCAGTTGTGGTTCCAGCTCTCGATGAGATTTTGGCGGCTGAAGCCGAGCTCACACTCGTCTGTGCTGAGGGGAAAAACAGCCACAGCCTGCCACAGCTTCACGAGGTTCGGATATGAGCTGATCCGATTCGCCATCAGCAACATATTGGACAGAGACTTGTAGAAGTTCAGACTGCAGTGGTCGGCGTTGAGCACGTGGACGAACAGGGGGAGCTCCTTCTCACAAACGCCTGTGGATTGGGGGGCCGGGGGGGAGGGGATGACAAGGAAAGAGCAGAAGATAGACGCATTATGCAAGGGAGGGATTAGTGAAACATGCCATGGAAACATGCCAGACCAGGAATGAGTGAAACGCCGATGAGCTTCAGCGTGTCCATATTCAATATTCAGCGTCGCAGCCATCACTTCAGCCAAGCATGAGTCTTCTTGCGGCGACGCTTGTGTTGGGGCAGGCTCGCGGCAGAAGGTAAGTCGCACTTGCTTCCGCTTCTGCTGCTTCCGTGAAGTCCTGGCGCGCTTCACTCCTCGTGTCGACGTGAAGAGGAATGGCACTGCTGTGGGTGAGGGGCTGTTCACAGGAGATCGGGGTGCATCTGCACGTTGAGACGCAGACGGGGATTCATGATCGGCATCCGCGGACGTCGGCTCCATCGGCCAGTCGACAGGGTCCTTGTGCGTAGCAGCGGGCTCGTCACACCGCGAGGTGGCGGTGGCATGGCTACGGTGCCGCTCGGTTGCTCACGTAAAAAATCAAGCACGCTTAGCGGCGGGGTCGTCTTATCGGGCGGCTCATCGCTGCCCTAGTCACCGCCATCCACAGCGTTTCCAGGCGCCGCTGACATAGCCGCGGAGCAGAAAGGCACTAGCAGTAGCTAAACTATCGACAGAAGAAAGTAACGGGGAGGGCTCGGCCTGAAGAGAGGGATGTACAAGGAGTACCAAGACTGGGAGGGAAGGGAAGGAAGTGCATGGCGTGTCCAAGGCATAAAGCACGTGGTTCCTGTGGATCACGAAACCGTGGTGGAAAGGCAGCATGGGTCCTAAATCTGACCTCTGCATAATGTCAGCGACACGCAGCGGAGGCTGCATTGCTGCAGCGAGACATCCAGCAAGGACACTCGTTGGCAGTCTGTCATTAAGGCCGTCAGGCAGAGTAATAATTGCGGCAGTCAGTGTTAAAATTATATAAGTTATAATTTATATAGGCTTGGTAGGTTGTTACTGAACCTTTCTGTAGGGGGTACAAACCCCTCCTTGTACTCCCCTCTCTTCTAATCCAACATCTTTTCTCTCCTCAACTTTCCTAGCACCTAAAACCTCTCGCCATTCTCATGGCTCCTCCTAGCTCCTAGCTAAACCTTGTGCCATTCTATGGCTTCCTAGCTAAGCTAGTTTCTGACATGGTATTAGAGCAGTTCGTTCCGTGTGGGCCTGCTCCTCGCGTTTCCGCTGCGTGCTCGTTTCTCTCTCTATCTCGCGCTGCCATGGCGGCCGCGTCAAGCTGCTGTGGCCGCGTCGTCGTGCCGCGGCGCCGCTGTCGACGTCCATGGCGCCCGCGTCCAGCTGCTGTGGCCGCGCCGTCGTGCCGCAGCTCCGCCGTCGCGTCAAGTTGCTGTCGCGACGTGACGGCGCCGTCACGCTGCCGCGGCGTCTACGCGACAGCGCGCAGTCGGCGTACCAGCGACGTCGTGCTGCCGTCGCAGCGTCGACGCCCCGCTGCGGCATCGACGCCGCTCCATGACGGCGTCGTCGGGCTGCAGCCGGCCGCGTGACGCTTGTGGCGCCGCTAGACCGGCCGCCCGCATGTCAGCCTGTGGCGCCGCCCCCCCCCCCACCCCCCCTCCTTCCCCTGCGCCCTCTTCCATTCCGCAGACGACGGCTGACTCCCGCCGGCCGTCCCACAGTCGCGGGGCCAGGCCACGTCACCGAGAGGTGCGGGTGCCGCCGCCGCTGCCGCTGTTGTCGAAGCCGCCGCCGCCGCCGCTGTCGCCGCTTGCGTCGGGGCCACGCAGCCGCACGCCGCCGCCGCCGCCGCTGTCGACACTGCCGCCGCTGCCGCCGTCGCCGCCGCAGCCCCTGCGGTCGACGTCGCCGCCTCACGCGCCGTGGGGTCGACCGACCTAGAGTCGCTGTCACTGTGGCTGGAATGGGGGTGCTAGGTTAGGGGGTGTGGGTGTGTGTGGGTGTGTGACTACCAAGCCTAGGGGGTGTGTTAAAATTATATAAGTTATAATTTATATAGGCTTGGTAGGTTGTTACTGAACCTTTCTGTAGGGGGTACAAACCCCTCCTTGTACTCCCCTCTCTTCTAATCCAACATCTTTTCTCTCCTCAACTTTCCTAGCACCTAAAACCTCTCGCCATTCTCATGGCTCCTCCTAGCTCCTAGCTAAACCTTGTGCCATTCTATGGCTTCCTAGCTAAGCTAGTTTCTGACAGTCAGCCCCACGTGAAAATTGTCGGGTACTAGGGGAGTACGTTGTCCAGGGCCAGGGGGGCTGTAATACAGTTAACACTGGTCCGGGTGAAATTTTGGGCCACCCTTCCCAGTCAGGGCGGGAAACAAGTGCACTCTAGAATTTACAGGGCGTTTTAAAAGTGTACTCTGAAATCGTAAGAGTAAAAAAAAATCGTACTCTGCAATATCCGACCAGCATGCTCCGAGCACCCTGAAAATCAGAGTAAACAGGGTAAATCACCCTGCTAACATGTGCCCTGAGTACAACCCATTAGGTTATATTCCCTTGTATGCCTTCTCCTAGTCATTCTTTCACTTGAACATGGGATGCTGTGGTGAAGATCTGGCGGGCCTACAAGAAGAGGCGACCATTCTCCACCTCCCGGGCCACTGTGCAGTGCAGAGCAGAAAGGGGAAGGAGCCGAGGGAAGAGGATGCTTTTGAGCCCCCCCTAGTTATGGAAGATGCAGTAGAGGATGGTGATGCTGGCCGTAGTTGTGCTGAGGAGTTGTAACTTGAGTATTGGCTGCAGCCTTTTTTCCCGTGCTAAATCATGCAAGGCTGAATTTCCAGCCTTTATGCTAGGTTGGAGGCAGGGTCATCAGCCTAAACCAGGAGGGCAAGGATGACTGATCAGCGTATGCTCAAACCAATCTATAGGCCTGGTTCCATGCCTGTTCTCAGCATAAGCAAACTGACTGTTTATAAGGGGAAATACAAAAATCAGCAGCAGGTACAGAATCCCCATGCAATCAGAGGATTGCATTTCATACCTCCTTTCGATAACCCCGGTCCGTATAAAAGGTGCAAATGAAAATAAAAGGAGACAGTGCAAATGAAAATAAAACGAGAAGAAAGCGTGTTCATTGCTCGGCGGCAGAGTCATTGCCTGAAGGCTCTGGCCCTTGTGAAGGGGCGGAGGAGTGGCTGGCAGGCGGCATGAGCCCAAGCATTGGCCCAAGCTGGGGGTTGGCCTCTATGCTTGCTAAAATGTCCTCCACTAACTCTCCACTTGGAAGGCTGGAGGAAGGAAGGGGTGGGGCAACAAGGCACGGAAAAAGGGAGAGTAGAGAAGAGAGTGTGAGTGCGGTGTTTCCCAGGGACGCAGGAAGCGGATTAACACAATGAGAGAGAGAGAGAGAGAGAGAGAGAGAGAGAGAGAGAGAGAGAGAGAGAGAGAGAGAGAGAGAGAGAGAGAGAGAGAGAGAGATGGTTACAGCTATGGAGCGAAGTGGGCAAGGGACAAGTGGTAGACAGGGCACGGAGGAAGCACAAGGCCTCACCTTATGTCCTCGTCCTCTCTCCCCCCCATGCCGGCAGAGTTGATGCAGTGGGGGATGCGGTCAAGGGACAAGTGCACAACGCGGGCAAGGGATAGGGATAGGGAGGAAGAAAGCCTCACCTCATGTCCTCGTCCTCTCCCCCCCGCATGCCGGCAGAGTTGATGCAGTGGGCAATGCGGCCGGGGAGGTCGTCATCGTTGGCGATATAGTCGCCCACTATGGCCATCACATCTTCCTCGTCCAGCACCAGTGAGTGGAACCACTGGTCAAAGTCCTCGCCCGGCCCGGCTTCTCCCGATGCTTCTCCCGATGCTTCTCCCGATGCTTCTCCTGATGCCTCTCCGGAGCCTTCTCCTGACCTTCCTCCTGATGCCTCTCCTGATATTCCACCTGATCCTGTGCTTATGCTGCCATTTCCCCCGCTCTCTCGCCCGCCATCCCCACCATCCTCCTCGTCCTCCTCCTCCTCTCCCTCTCCCTCTCTCTCCTCCTCTCGTTCTCCATCTTTGTCCTCCCCTTCGTCTCCGCTCACCTCTCCACTTGTCCTCACACTCCCTTCACTTCTCAGCATCCCCAAGGGGCTTCCCTCTCTACTATCCCCCTTGCGACTAGCCATGGCTTTCCCCACACTTCCTTTGTCCTCTCCAACCAAATCCCCTCCTTTCACCCCTCCATGCAAACTCCCTCCCGGCTCTCCTCTGGAGTTAAAACCAGGCTCCCTACCAAACGCTTCCACAAGCCCTGTCCCTTCCACGCTCACATTGCCATTTGCCACTTCGCCCTGCCCTCCCCCCTGAATCACTTCACTGCCTCTCCCCTGCCGTCCCTCCAAGCCCCCCTTTCCATGCCACTTTTTCGGAGTGGTGCTGTCAACCCCAAACCCTAACCCCAGTCCCCTGCCGCCTTGCCCCACTGGGCTCTCCAGCATGGTTGTAAACGGTGCTTCAGATGAGCTGGGACTGCTCATCACTGCGGTATACACTGCAAGACCACCTACTCTTGCCCTTCCATCCGCTCCCTCATTCATAGCACCACCAGCATCACCACCAGCAGCAGCAGCAGCAGCAGCAGCAGCACCAGCAGCAGCAGCAGCAGCAGCAGCACTGGCATTTAATCCTCCGAACGCCCCTTCCCCTCCACTAATCCCGGGCACCCTAAAAACTTTCCGCGGGCTGGATGGCACCGGCATTGCTGCCACACTTGCAGCAGCAGCCGCCACAGCTGCTACAGCTGCTGCTGATGCTACAGCCACTCCCCCACCTAATCCCTTCAACAATCCCCCCCCTCCCCCTGCCCCATTCCCCACCACCCCACTTGCGGCCGCTCCTGGCCTTATCGCCCCTATAGCAGCAAGCCCAGATACCTTAACCGGCTTTGCAGGAGAATTTCCCCCATGTAAATGATAAGACCGGGGCAGGAATCTCAAAGGGCTGCTGCTGCTGCTGCCGCCACTGCAGGTGCTGCTGATGCTAGCGCTGCACCTGGTGCTGGTGCCAATCCGTGCTAGTTTCAAAGGGGGGGAGGTTCTGGCAGGAGAGAGCGGAGAGAGCGCGGCTGACTGGCGCTTCTGTGGTGTCGACTGTTTGCGGGGGGAGGAACGGCGCATGGGCGGGGGGAGTGCGGGCGGGGCGAGTGTGAGTGGGTGTGGGGATTCGGGTGGGTTGGGCGGTGATTTGATGGAGTGACAGGGGACTAGCTGGGGATGATTCTGCTGCTGTTGCTGCTGCTGCTGCTGCTGCTGCTGCTGCTGCTGCTGCTGCTGCTGCTGCTGCTGCTGCTGCTGCTGCTGCTGCTGCTGCTGCTGCTGCTGCTGCTGCTGCTGCTGCTGCTGCTGCTGCTGCTGCTGCTGCTGCTGCTGCTGCTGCTGCTGCTGCTGCTGCTGCTGCTGCTGCTGCTGCTGCTGCTGCTGCTGCTGCTGCTTGCTGCTGCTGCTGCTGCTGCTGCTGCTGCTGCTGCTGGCTGCTGCTGCTGCTGCTGCTGCTGCTGCTGCTGCTGCTGCTGCTGCTGCTGCTGCTGCTGCTGCTGCTGCTGCTGCTGCTGCTGCTGCTGCTGCTGCTGCTGCTGCTGCTGCTGCTGCTGCTGCTGCTGCTGCTGCTGCTGCTGCTGCTGGCTGCTGCTGCTGCTGCTGCTGCTGCTGCCTGCTGCTGCTGCTGGCTGCTGCTGCTGCTGCTGCTGCTGCTGCTGCTGCTGCTGCTGCTGCTGCTGCTGCTGCTGCTGCTGCTGCTGCTGCTGCTGCTGCTGCTGCTGCTGCTGTGGCGGTAATTCTGGTGATGGCGCTGATGGTGGAACTTGTTGCAGCAGCTGCTGCTGCTGATTTAAACCACTGGGCGAAGCAGCAGTAGGAGCAGTTGCAGCAGCAGCAGCATTAGAGGCAACAGGAGCAAAACCACTGGTTTGGACAGGGGCAGTGGTTGGCGCAGCAGACGGCAGGGGAGGGGAGGGAGCCGCAGTGCAGGCGCCAATGTTGAAAACATTTACAGAGGAAGGAGTAGGAGTAGTGGCAGGGGCAGTATTGGCAGCGGTGGCAGAGGCAGGGCTCGCAGTGTTGGCAGCAGCAGGAGGAGGAGGTTGAGTGTGATTGGCTGCCGAAGTGCTAGCTCCCACTGCTGTTCCGTTCTCTAGAGCAGGAACTGCTGCTGTTGCTGCTGCTGCTGGTGTTGTTGTTGTTGCTGCTGCTGCTGGTGCATTTGCTGCTGCTGTTGCTGCTGTCGCCGCCCTGTTGGCATTGCCGGCGAACGACGCCAGCAAGCTTCTGCTAGTGGATGTCTCACCCACTGCTGGCTCAGGGAAAACTGAGCCACCTGTGACGGTTGGCGCAGCCATAGTGGGAGGCGCAGGGAAGGGCGCTGGGAACGGCGCAGGGCAAGGCGCGGGGAGGGGTGCAGGGGGGGGCGCAGGGACAGGAGCCGCGGCAGTTGTGGCACCAGTTTTTGTACCAACGGTGGCGCCAGCTGCACTATCAGACGTTGGAAGGGATAGGGAAGGAGTGGTAGCAGCAGCTGTGTTGGGAGCAGCACCAGCGGAAGCAGAGGCTGGGGTGACCGCAGAGGGAGGAGCAACGGGAGGAGGGTCAGACGAAGATGCATGGGCGGAGAAGGGAGGAGCAGAAGCAGGAGAAGCAGCAGGAGCAGGAGCAGGAGAAGCAGCAGGAGCAGGAGCAGGAGCAGGAGCAGGAGCAGGAGCAGGAGCAGGAGCAGGAGCAGGAGCAGGAGCAGGAGCAGGCGCAGGAGCAGGAGCAGGAGCAGGCGCAGGAGCAGGCGCAGGAGCAGGAGCAGAACCAGGAGCAGGAGCAGCAGTAGCACCAGGAGCAGCAGTAGCCAGAGTGGAAGATGTGGCAAGGCCACCGGCAGGGTGAGGTGAGAGCTTAGAAACTGATGCAGTGGAGCCATGCGCAAGAGCAGCAGGGGATGGGCTGGGCGCAGAGGACGCAGCAGGAGCAGCTACTGGTGCTGGTGCTGGTGCTGCTGGTGCTGCTGGTGCTGCTGGTTCTGCTGGTTCTGCTGTTGCTGTTGGCGCTGCTGCTGGTGCTGCTGCTCTTGTTCCTGCTCCAAGAACTGCAAGGGTTGTGGTTTTAGCCTTATTGAGAACTCCCGGATCCCCCACCTGCGGTGGCTGCCCTGCTCCTATACTTGACATAAGCTGGACAGATACACTGTCTGTTGCAGACACCTGAGCAGCGGAAACCTGAGTAGACACCTGATCAGCAACCTGACAAGGGACCTGAGAAGGGGTTCCCTGATGTGGCACCGCAGGGTGCTGCTGCCCCTGCTGCGTGTACTGCTGCTGATGAGTTGGCTCAGCATTGCCCACTCTTGTTGCCACGTCAGCATATAATACAGGGACCACAGATACCTCCCCGCCATTGGTCAGCCCACCTGCTCCTGTAACAACTGCCGCACCTAAACCACCCGCCCCTCCCCCACCTGCATTCCCCCCCACATTCTGCGCTCTCTTCCCCCTCTTTCCGCCCTGTCCCTGCGCGCTCTTCCCCCCGGCTGCTCCCGCCCCCGCTCCTGGTCCCGTCTCCGCGTCTCCCTCCCAGTTAGTAGCGGCCCCTTTAACCTGCCTGCGCCGCCCTGGTTTGGCGGGGACGCGCGCCTGTGGGCCCTTGAGGACTGGCGGCGTTTGCGATGGGGGGGACTGGGTCGACCACGCTTGCTGCTGCTGCTGCTGCTGTTGCTGCTGCTGCTGCTGTTGCTGCTGCGGCGGCGGAACGCCAGATGCTGGGAGCTGGGGCGGCGAAATGACTGGAGGGTTGGAAAGGCGGACGGGGGAAGAATAAAGGGGGAAGTTAACACAAGAGAGTGATGGACGGACGGAAGACAGTGTTGTGAGTGGGACGAGCACGTGCGAGCCACATTTCTAGTCGCGAGGGAGTAAAGCGAAAGATTACGAGACAGAAAACGCCGGAACATGAGGAGATCAATCTCCGCAACCAAGAAGCAGGACTGTCAGGTGACAGACGGACCAGCAGAGACAACACAGGAGGGGAAGGGGGGGGGGGGGGGGGGGGGGGGGGGGGGTGGGAGGGGGGAGGGGGGATGGCGGAAATGCTTACCAGGGGCAAGGGGCTGTTGGTGCTGCTGGCGAATCACCGAGAGTTGTTGCTGCGGCTGGTTGGCTGCAGGCAGCTGCTGCTCCTGTTGCAAGTATTGCACGCCCTGCTGCTGCTGCTGCTGCTGCTGCTGCTGCTGCTGCTGCTGCTGCTGCTGGTTGTACTGCTGTTGCTGCGCCTGCTGCTGGCCGTTCTGCTGTGTCTGCTGCTCTTGCTGCTGCAGCTGCTGTTGCTGCTGCTGCTGCGGGCTCCCGTGCATCCCCGCCTGTTGCGCGTGCCCGGCAGAACCACTCCCCCCGGCGGGTCCCGCGGGCCCGCCGCCGCCGTGAGCAGTGGTAACCGTTGTAACGGGGGCAGCACCCCCGGCGGGGCGCATGCCGTCGTGGTAAGCCTCCATGGCCATCTGGAGCGACTGAACCAGGCGGTCCGCGTGCCGCCTCTGGCTGTCCATCGCGGTGCGATCCTCTAAGAGTACTATGTAGTCGCTTAAGATCACCTCTAGGCTCTTCGCTGGCGCGGGAGCCTGCGTAAGATGGAGTAGGGATGCCACGGAAGAGAGAGTAGAGAACCAGATGTGGGGAAAGTGAGAAGCGTAAAATGAGGAAACGGAATCGATTACACGGTCGCGAATCGGAGTAGAGGGTATCGCATACGCAATCAACGCACGGAAAAACATTTTCGAATGGAAAGTCACGGAACTTGAGTAAACTACTGGCGTAAATTGAGTGAGTAAAACGGAAAGACGCATCGAAGGCAGTTGCAGAAGTAGTCTCACCGCTTGCATCGGAGCGAGGAGGTCCGTTGCTTCGGATTGGAACGCCTCGAGCGACCTGACGAAGCGGCAGTCCCGCAGATACTGCCGCACGAGGAACGCCACCTCATAGCGCGTCACCACGCTCCTGTCCCCACGAGTCACGCGCACAACGGGAGTCGCCGACATTGCTAGGCTAACTGAGAAAGGCTTAGGTACTACGTGACGAGGTTGCTACGTGGCGAGAGATTATTCGCGATTTGAGATTATGTCACTTGACCATGATACTCAACCATTTATAAAGGACCAGGGTTGAAGCTCATACAGAAACGGCGGCACTCGTCGCGAGACGTCCTGTTGACGAAGCTAACGAAACCGTGAATCGTATGAAAAAAAAGGACGGGTTGGGAAGGAAAAGGGCTGGCGATTTACGAGGGCGGGAGATTGAGTCGGAGGAAGCTGAGAGGGGGGATGGGGGAAGAGCCAGAAGGAGGAGAAGCAGCAGCTGGTTGCTGGTTTGAGTGTCGCGCTGACGCTTCTGCTACTGCTGGTGATAGCTTTTCTATTGGTGTTGTGGTGCAGCTGGTGCTTGTAAGTAATTTCTCCTCGCTCCAAACCCCAGCCCTGCTGATGCGAGGGGCTTGAGGGGAAGGTCTTGAGTGTGCGAATTTCGAAATTGAATTTTGAATCCTAACTGCGTCTCCACCAGTCACAAAGCGCAAAACCACCTCGGGATGTGCTGGAATGTAGCGAGAGCTCATGCACGAAAGGGCGAAATCGTATCATCGGTTGGCGAAGGGATACCCTTTCATTCACGGATCGTTCGCACAGCAGGATTTGAATTGCCAATTTGGACATGGGAATCACCAAGAATAACGTTCCCTTTGTAAAAGGGCCCGTGAAAGAACCCATAACAGGTAATGAACAAATTCGATGTATCAGAGTTATGAACAAACAATACCAGTGGTATCAGTCTTGTACACTATTCGATGGTGTAGCTGATTTACATACTTGAATTTCTGATTCACATAAAATATATATTTTAACGAAATATAATCCATATTACGCATAGAAAAAATGAGACGTAAAAAATGTAACAAGAACAACTAATAAAGGGGGAAAATAATACAGGAACAACCAAGAAAAACAAAATAGATAATAATAATACAGGAAATCCCAATATAATGGAAAAATTGGACAGCTAACATAAAACAAATAATATAGTATGAGGAACAACCACTATTTGAAAACTGTACCAATAAATCTACTAGCTGGTCAGCATTCTACTACTGAAGAGGAGCTCCATTACTTGAAACGGATTGCTCCAGGCGAAGTTTTCGCTAGTCGGCGGCTTGACCCGCAAGGATGACCACAGGCATCTTTGACGAGAAAACCCTCTGCTGTCAAGGTCTCCAGAGACTCCCGCCCATGTGCTGGCAATTCCTGCGCCACCTGGCCTACCCTCGTTCCTCGATCTCCGTTGGGTTTGAAACCCTGATTTCTGAAGATCTTCGCAGTTGCAGCTTGACGTGGGTCTGCGACTGTCGCAAATCGTCGTCACCGGCAGTAACTGTCGCGCGAGCTACTCTCAAGCCGTTCAGCGTCAGCAAAACCTTGTCTGTCAGCCTCGAAATCTCCGCTCCGACTGCGCGTCAACAGTCCTGCAATTATCCTGAAGCGGCGATTAGAGTAGCTGCTGCAAGTGCATGAGGGGTAGGATGCTCTGACCTTGGCTACTTCCCCTTTTCGCGGTGTGAAAACCAGCGTATTCTTGAATTAGGCGAGTCTGGTTCTACTTCCGCGCAGCCGATGAAGTAATTCGAGCTGTTCGCTCTTGGCTGTTCTATTTTCCTTGTTTTAAGCCCAACACAGCAGTGCATACCTAGTCACTTCGATCTTTGTCCACGTGACCTTACCCCTAATATAATCGGCGCCCTGGGTTTCCGAGTAGCTGGCACCGTTTTCTGCTTCGTGAATAGCTGAGAATTAGGAGAGCAGCAATTTTAGGAGCTCGAGAAACATAGCTACTTGCTATAGCCAGGAAGGAAGGGCTCCATGGATTACCGAATGCGGCTGGGGGATAAACGGCCGCTTGAAGATGGCAACACACCGCACCAGCCCGAAAAACGGCAGCGAGTTCCGGCTTTGGCAAGGTAGCGTGGCTGTTATTCCAGACTAGTGTTCGGTGCTCCGTGCGCCTTCGCCTAGTCGGCTTTGTCGTCTATTATCAGTCTCACAAGTACCCTTGTCTGGGACTTCCTTAACGTGTCAAAGCGACCTCAAGTTTCCCTCACTGAAACGTTATAGAAGCTGTTTCACCATTACGTGCACTAGCTCTGCGCGTGGTTCCTTAGCTTGCGCCTCTCAAATGTCGCCATTCCCCTCATTATTCCTCCCCTCCCCATTCCCACCCGCCCCTCCCCCTCTCTCCCCGTTCCCCCTCCCCCCCCTTCTTAGTTGTCTCTTGCTTTCCGCGTACTCAAGCACTCCTGATTCAATTCCTCACATGCATTGCTGGTTATCCCTATCCCTTATGCGTGCAGTGTGATTGTGGAGGCGGTCAAAATGGACAGCTTGCAAAAGCTCTGCTCCACGCTCGAGCCCTTGCTACGACGCGTGGTGCGTGATTCAACTTCGCGGATCTATTTCCATTTTCTACGCACCTAAACTATATTGCTAGCCACATTGCCGTTGTCGTGATTAATTTCTTAAGTGTGCCACGTTTTTCTATGCTTTTTTTTTCTCAACGTTCCGCTTCCTTCCGTCCGTCATCGCCCGGCTGTAAGGTGACGGTCTGTCGGCATAATATGGCTTTCCTGTCACTGCGTGACGCTCTAGGGTCGCATAACTCCGATAAGACTCTGCACCCATTGTCCCGGTAGCATTATGCTGCACGCAGCAGCGCCGCTGATGGCTCCTTACACGCGCGCACCTCAGTAATATCGGTTACGCCTCCATTCTCCTCCCTACTCTCCTTCGTCCGTTGACCGCTTATCCGTCTCCTACTTCTTCTCCTTCTCCTGCTCCTGTGTCTTGTGCCCCGACGTGTGGTCCCTGTGCCTCGAGAAGCGCAGGTGGGAGAGGAGGTGGAGAAAGCGCTTGCGAAGCTCGTCCCCAATAACATACCGCAGCTGCCTGGAAGGTGCGTTTTCCTCCAAAATGTTTGCGCTTTCCAGTATTTTATTCTCTCGCTTTCTCCCCGCCCTTCTCCCCCCCCCCTTCTCCGTTCTGTGCCTCTTTTCCCTGCGTCTTTCCGTTCCGCCGCACCTTTTTCCCCCATCCCGCACCTCCCCTTGCGCCCCTCCCCTCCGCTCCCCGTTCCACCCCCAGACCCGACCCCAAGCGCCTGCCCGCGCCGGAGAGCGCGCGCAAGCTGCGCCTGTCGTTCCGCAGCAAGCTGGCGCTGCCGCTGTACACGGGCGCGCGCGTGGAGGGCGAGGGCGGGCAGGCGGTGCACGTGGTGCTGCAGCACGCGGACACGGGGCAGACCGCCATGGACCTGGAGGAGAGTAACGTGAAGCTAGAGGTGGTGGTGCTGGAGGGAGACTTCAACAAGCCTAACGACGACGATTGGACGCAAGTGCGGTTCCTCCCTGCTCGCGCGCTCTCTTTTGCTGGTTTGGTTTGGTTTGCTGACAACTCGAAACGCCGTGGACTTCGCATACTGCGCGAATCGCACTAAAGAACCCCCAACGAATCAAACAGCAGCGCCCCCCCCTTCAGCAGCGAGCAGTCGCTCTCCCCCCTTCCCCCTGTCCTCGTCCCCGCGGCGCATCCCCCCCCCTTCCCCCTGTCCTCGTCCCCGCGGCGCATCCCCCCCCTCCCCCCTCCCCTCCCTTCCCCCCTGCCCCCCCCCACCCTCCAGGAGGAGTTTGGGCAGAACGTGGTGAAGGAGCGCGAGGGCAAGCGCCCGCTACTCGCGGGCGAGGTGATGATGTCGCTCAAGGACGGCGTGGACACGCTGGGGGACCTCTGCTTCACCCCCTCCCCCTCCCCCTCCCCCTCCCCCTCCCCCTCCCCCTTGAGCACCGCCTTCCCCCCCCCCCATGCTCGCCAACAAGCATGCTCTGCCGATCGCACTAAAGAGGCGCCGAATCAAACGCCAGCAAACGCTCGCTCTCCCCCCCTCCCCCTGTCCTCGTCCCCTCGGCGCACCCTTCCCCCCTCCCCCGCCCCCCCCTTTCAGGAGGAGTTTGAGCAGAACGTGGTGAAGGAGCGCGAGGGCAAGCGTCCTCTGCTCACGGGCGAGGTGATGGTGTTGCTCAAGGACGGCGTGGGCACGCTGGGGGACCTCTGCTTCACGGACAACAGCAGCTGGATCCGCTCGCGCAAGTTCCGCCTGGGGGTACGCGTCGCCCCCGGGCAGGAGCTCGGGGGGAGCGTGCGCGTGAGAGAGGCCAAGACGGAGGCGTTCACTGTCAAGGACCACCGGGGGGAACGTGAGTAGGGGGGATGGGGGGTGAAGGGATTTGGAGAGGGGTGGGGGGAGGGGGAGTGGTTTGAGAGGTCCATGTGAAATCGCAAGTTCCGCCTGGGGGTGGGGGTAGGCGTGGCGGCAGGGCAGCAGTTGGAAGGCGGTGTGCGCGTGAGAGAGGCCGAGACGGAGACGCTCACTGTCAAGGACCATGGGGGGGGGGGGGGACGTGAGTGGGGGCGGGTGGGAGGGCGCAAGGGTGGGGCTAGGACGGTGTTAGCTGGGTAACAGGATGGTTTTGGGATGGGGAGTTGGGGCTTGGGCTGGGGCTGGGCCGGGTTTGGCAGGGGGGTTGTACTGGCATAGTGATCTTTTTCGTTCTTTTCCTCTGGATTGCTTGAAGGTGTTGAAGGTAGACTACGAGGGTTCTTTGGTGGCCCCATATGCCTCCCCCACACTCAGCCAGTACCCCATTCGTTTCTAACATTCCCCTCATTCCCCTCCGCTCCCTTTTCTCTCTCCCTCCTCCCCTCCCCCCCCCCCCCCCCCCCCCTCCCCCCTCCCCCCCATCCCTCGTCACTACCCTCCTTCCTTCCCCTATCGTCGCCTCTGCCCTCTTCTCCTCTTCTTTTCCTCCCTCATCTCGCCGTCCCCTCTACTCCTCCCTTCCTCCCCCTTCCCCCCCCACTCCCACTCCCCCTCCCCCTCCCCCTCCCCCTCCCCCTCCCCTCCCCCTCCCCCTCCCCTCCCCCTCCCCCTCCCCCCGTGTACAAGAAGCACTACCCTGCTCCAAAGCTGAATGGCGAGGTGTGGCGGCTTGACAAGATCGGCAAGGGCAGACGAGTGACTTTTGAGTCGACTCAAGAATCACCTACGAATGCGATTTTTGAGAATTCTCAAAATCACCTACAAACAAGGGCGGACAAATGTGACGTCCAATGGTGATTTGTAGTCGACTAAAAAAATCACCTACGAATGTGACATCCCATCCCAGGAATCGTTGCGTATTCAGAGAAATCACTCGTGCTGCGCCTTCCCTCTCTTTCTCCGGCTCTTCTCAGCCCCCCTTGCCCCCCCCCCCTCCCCCTTGCTTCTCCCCCCCCCACACGCCAGTGTACAAGAAGCACTATCCGCCGAAGCTGAACGACGAGGTGTGGCGGCTGGACAAGATCGGCAAGGACGGCGCTTTCCACAAGCGCCTCAACCAGTCCGCCATCGTCACCGTCGAGGACTTTCTCCGCCTCATCGTCATGGACCCGCAGAAGCTCAGGACGGTGAGGCTGAGAAGGGGGGGAGGGGGGAAGGGGGGAGGGAGGTTGCTGCTGTGTGGAGACAATAAGCAGGCAAGGTGCAAGGCGTCACCGTCGAGGACTTCCTGCGCCTCATCGTCATGGACCCGCAGAAGCTCAGGACGGTGAGGCTGGAGGGGGGGGAGGGGGTTCCCGTGCGGAGACAGTAGGCAGGCAAGGTGCAAGGAGCAAGGCGTGATTGTCGAGGACTTCCTCCGCTCCGCCTCTTCGTTATGGACCCGCAGAAGCTCAGGACGGCGAGGGGGGGTGATGGGAGGGGCAGGGCGGTGGGGCTGGGATGGTGTGGATTTGAGGGGAATGGGTTCAAGTGTCGTGTGGGAGGAAGCGTTGTATTGTGTAGGGTGTTGTGTGAGGGGAATGGGTGCCCTTGCCCTCGCTTATTCATCCTTATTGATCCTCCCTTGTCCTCCATCACTTCCTCTCCCCACCCATCCCCTCACACTCTCCCCTTCCCCCCCCCCCCCCCGGCACACTCTTTCCCTCCTTCACATGAATCATCTTTCCCATCCCCCCTGTTTGTTCACCCCACTTGCCCCCTTTTCCCCACCACACCACAAAACATGCTTGCTGAATGGGGAGCTGAACACATGCTCTCCTCTCTCCTCTCCCCTTTCCCTCCTCTCTCGTCTCCCCCCTCTCTCCTCCTCCCCCCCCCCCCCCGCTCTCTCTCTGTCTCCCTCTCCCTCCCTCAAAACCCCCCCTCTCCCCCTCCCACCCCCCCCCCCCCCACCGGCCCCCCCTCTGTTCAGATCCTGGGGTCGGGCATGTCGAACAAGATGTGGGAGGGCGTGGTGGAGCACGCCAAGACGTGTGCATTGAACGGGAAGCTGTATGTGTACTACGCGGACGAGAAGCAGAACATCGGCGTCATCTTCAACAACATCTTCCAGCTCATGGGGCTCATAGCCGACGGCCAGTACATGTCCGTCGACCTGCTCTCCGACTCCGAGAAGGTGCGACGGGGAGGGTAGGGAAACGGCGATGGGAGGTGGGTGGTGGTGGTGGTGGTGGTGGTGGTGGTGGTGGTGGTGGTGGTGGTGGTGGTGGTGGTGGTGGTGGTGGTGGTGGTGGTGGTGGTGGGTTGGGTTGGGTTGGGGTGGGGTGGGGTGGGCTCGGGCGGATATGCGGGGTTTCCTCATCGCCAACGGCCAGTACATGTCTGTAGGCTTTGCTCTCCGACTCCGAGAAGGTGCGAGGGGGATATGGTAGGGAGGGAGGGGTGGAAGCGGGGGGGATATTGTGGGAATTTCCTCTTGGCCGACGGCCAGTACATGTTCGTCGACCTGCTCTCCGACTCCGAGAAGGTGCAACGGGGAGAGGAAGAGGGGCAGGAAAGGGAAAGGGCGTTGTATGAAGGCTGTTGGGGGGGGTGAAAGGGGAGGGGAGGGGAGTGGAATTCCTCGCATTGCCGACGGCCAGTACATGTCCGTCGACCTGCTCTCCGACTCCGAGAAGGTGCGACGGGGAGGGTAGGGAAACGGCGATGGGAGGTGGGTGGTGGTGGTGGTGGTGGTGGTGGTGGTGGTGGTGGTGGTGGTGGTGGTGGTGGTGGTGGTGGTGGTGTGGTGGTGGTGGTGGTGGGTGGTGGTGGTGGTGGTGGTGGTGGTGGTGGTGGTGGTGGTGGTGGTGGTGGGTGGTGGTGGTGGTGGTGGTGGTGGTGGTGGTGGTGGTGGTGGTGGTGGTGGTGGTGGTGGTGGTGGTGGTGGTGGTGGTGGTGGTGGTGGTGGTGGTGGTGGGTGGTGGTGGTGGTGGTGGTGGTGGGTGGTGGTGGTGGTGGTGGTGGTGGGGTGGTGGTGGTGGTGGGTGGTGGTGGTGGTGGTGGTGGTGGTGGTTGGTGTGGGGTGGTGTGGGGTGGTGTGGGGTGGTGTGGGGTGGTGTGGGGTGGTGTGGGGTGGTGTGGGGTGGTGTGGGGTGGTGTGGTGTGGTGTGTGATATGCAGGAATTTCCGCATTTCCTTTTGTCTGTCAACCTGCTCTCCTACTCTGAGAAGGTGCAAGGTGGAGGAAGAGTAGGAGCTGTGGAGGGTGTTATGGGGGGGGGGACGGGGGACGGGGGGGGAGACGGGAGAGGGAAGGGGGAGTTTCCTTGATGACGGGGAAGCAGGGGCTCATCACCAACGGCCAGTACATGTTTGTCGATGGTGGGAGGGTGGGAGCATGTCCGTCGATCGCTCTCCAACTCAGAGAGGGTCGGAGGGCAGAGTGTCTGCCACTCGTCCTGTCCTCCCTCCCCTACACCACCACCCTCCGCCTTCAGATCGACGTGGACCACCTGGTGACTGTGGTGTACAACGATTGGGACGTGCCTCTTCCCCTTCCTCCCCCACACCCCCCCCACCCCCCTCCCCCCTCCCCTTCCTCCCAAAATATCAAACACCCCTGCGCTCTGTGTGTGTGTATGTTTGTGCCTCCCGTTCCGCCATCAGATCTACGTGGATCGCCTGGTGACCATGGCGTACAATGGCTGGTACAGTGTGGCCCCCCTTCCACCCCCAAAAGTCTTCTGATCTCACCCCCTCTTCCCCCCCCCCCCCCCCCCCCCCCCCCCCCCCACCTCTTCCCCTGCCACTCGAACCTCCCTGTGCCATCAGATCTATGTGGACCGCCTGGTGACCATGGCATAAAACGACTGGGACAGTGCCGCCCCCCCTCCCCTACCTTCCAGAGTATCAGAGTCCCCCCCCACACTTTGTGCCTCCCCTCCCACCGTCAGATCTACGTGGAGCGCCTGGTGACCATGGCGTACAACGACTGGGACAGCGTTGCTCCCCCTCCCCTCCCCCCCAAAAACATCAAACACCCCCCCCCCTTTCCACTCTTTCTGCGTGCCTCCTGCCATCAGATCTACGTGGACCGCCTGGTGACCATGGCGTACAACGACTGGGACAGCGTGGTGGAGTACGACGGGGAGGCCCTCATTGCCTCACAGCGCGTGTCCGGCCAGACAGCCGGCGGCGACAAGGCAGGGCCGTCCTCCGCGCCCACTGTGTCGGTCACAGCGGGGACGTCCACTGCGGCTGAGGGGCAGGGCACCGCCACGTCGCTGGACGACTCCGATGGGCCGCAAGGTAAAGGTTTTGGAGGGGTCTGTAACCCTGGTAACTTTGATCTGGTTGGGGGGGGGGAGGGCGGATGGTGTCGTTCACAGCGGGGACGTCCACTGCGGCTGAGGGGCAGGGCACCGCCTCTTCGCTGGACGACTCCGATGGGCCGCAAGATATGATGGATTCTGGGGGGTTTGGTAGCCTGAGAAGGTTGTTTTGGGGGCGACAAGGCAGTGCCCTCGTCCGCCCTCACAGTGTCGGTGTCACAGTGTCACTGCGGGGACTTCATACTTCTGCAGGGGGTGCGGGGGGTGGGGAGGAGGCATTGCCGCCTCGTTAGATGACTCTGAGGAGACGCATTGGCCCGTTCTGAGGGACTGGAAAGGTAGGGTCATTGGCCCGTTTTGAGCTGAGGGACTGGAATGTTAGGCAAGCGCAGCTGGACGGAGTGGTCTGGGTGGACCCAAACGTATTGGCCTTTTGAATGTGGCTTGCTGCTCGTTCTCCAGTGCATTCCTCCCTGTCGCGATCACACCACGTTCACACCTACATCCGCATGTGTGCCTCTGTGTGTGCATGCGTGTGTGTGCCTGCATGTCCAGGCGGCTCTTCCCAGAGCGACGCATTGCAGCAGCAGCAGCAGCAGGGTGTGTCTGCCAATGCATCGCTGCTTCAACAGCATGAGAGGCGGCGGGCATTGACCAACAACCAGGTACAGCTAAGTGCGGCCGTTCAGCCAGCCACGTTAGAACCAGTTGCCACTCGTTGGCTTTTTCCACAACTCGTTGGGTGTGCCCCAAGAATGTGGCCCTCACCTCACCTCACATGCCCTTTGCAATTCTGCCTGTCCTGTCCTGAGGCAATGTCAACAGGGCGAGGACCAGCAGCAGCAGCTGACCACTGAACTGGGCCTCGGCAGGCAAAGCGGGCAGCAGTTTCCCCCACAGCAGCAGCAGTTGGGGTATGGTGGGGACGTAGGAGGGATGGGCGCAGGTGTTGCCGGGGGTGCCTCTGCGCCTTTAGGAGGTGGCGGGCTTTGGGATGGCTCTACTGCTGCTGGAATGGATGGGGGTAACATGGGTGGTGCTGGCATGTGGAATCAACCAAACATGGGCACAGCAACAGTAGCAGGAGGAGAAGGAGCAGCAGGAACAGGAAATACCAACAGTAGCACTGTTACCGTGGGGCCAGATCCCTTCGCCGGTGCCATTGTTCCCGCCGGTGCTGCTGGCGGCAGTGGTGGCGGTATCGGAGGTTCAGGGATGGACGGTGCTGGCATGGGCGGTGGCATATCGGGTTGGGCGTCTGGGCCGGGAAATGTGAGCAGTGGGACGGCAGGAGCAGCAGCAGCGGCTGCGGCACTCTTTGGAGGGCCGGGAGGTTTTAGTGGGCACTTGGACGACTTTGGGCTGTCGGAGGAGGACCTACGCGCCAAGAGCCTAGAGCTCCTGGAGAATGAGGACATGCACCAACAGGTACGGATTATGTTCTTTCTGTCCTTGCCTGTTTGGCGGGCCGGGAGGATTCAGTGGGCACTTGGCGGACCACTTTCGGCTGTCGGAGGAGGACCTACGGGTCAAGAGCCTGGAGCTCTACGTGGAGAATGAGGACATGCACCAACAGGTATGCTGACGCACATGCAGAGCTGTGAGATTTTTTTTAGTGACATGTGCCAGCCAACAGGTGTGAAGGGTCCTTCCTTCCGTGTTGCTTTCTTCCGCTGAGCCCCACTGACCCCCCCCCCCCCCCCCCCGTCCACGCTTCCACTCTCCCTCCTGTCTCCCCACACTCACTGCTCCTTTCTCCCCTCCCGCACCATCCCTTTCCCCCATGGCCTTCCTCACTGGGGTTCCAACCAATGCACCTTCTCCTGTTTTGCATGTGACCCGGTAAGATAGTGCCCCATCCGCTTCCCAAACTCCCCCCCACCTGCCCGCCCTTCCTCTTCCTGCAACACACCCCCCCCTCCCCCCCCCACACACACACACACACAGATGCAGCAGCTGCTGGGGCTGATAAACGACTACACGCCAGCAGGGTCCGCAGGAACCATCACCGCCAACCTACAGCAGGACGACAACGAGATTGTTTTCCAAGGGGGATTCCTCACCCCGTCTGCTCCTGCCGCTGTTGCTGCTGGAGGAGGCGCAGCAGCAGGAGGGGCAGTTGGTGGGGTGGGGCTGGGGCCAGAGGGGGCGTCGCATCTCAAGCATACGAGCAAGGTTGGGTGGCTCAAGCTGCGTGCCGCCTTGCGGTGGGGCATCTTCATTAGGAAGAGGGCTGCGCAAAGGCGGGCGCAGATCGTTCAGCTGGATGACGACGACGAATCATGAGTGGAGGGGGGTTGGGAAGGGGAGGGGGAGAGGGTGGGGGAGAATGGGGGTTGGGTTTAGGAGGGGGAGAGTGGGGGAGATAGGGGTTGGGTTGGGGTGGGGGGTCTTTGCTTGCGGTGGAGTGAGAGGAGCAGGGGGGAGGGGTGAGGGTAGGTAGGGAGGAAGGTGGAGATGGAAGATGGAAATTGGATGTGGGAAGGGAGCCGCAGGATTTGGGTTCATCCAGGTGTTGCTGCGGAGGTTGACGACGAGGAGTTTCTTGGAGGTTAAAGCATATGCTTCGCATGGCTGGCTAAGCCTTTTCAAAATCCACAAGTTTTTCCCTCGCAATTACTATGTGCCACTTACCTCCCAGGCCGGATACCTCGTGTGGGAAGGAACATGTAGCAGTTAGTTCTTCGTGACAGTTTGCTTTGTAATTATCTGTTGTTTTTCTGTGTACTGACCCTAATAGAAGTGCTGCGTGTAACAGTCACGAAGTAGTGGACTGTTGCAAATGTGAGGTGGATCTTGGCACCCACATTCGCCAACAACCAAAATGGACCACGGAAACCTTCCCTCCAGGGCTGTACCGCCCTTCCCCTTGGAGATGCCGCCGCGTGGCAATGGATGATCCGTCCGCGCCGCAATACCCGCTGGTCACAACTATTCAGATCCGCGTCTTGGAAGACCGACCAGTCACGGTTCGGGAATCGGGTCTGGAGGAAGCAGCTCCAATGGGAAGCACGGTGCAACCCCCGCACTCAGAGACTGCGCGCTCGCATGAACTGAACAGGCCTCGCTGCCGCCAAGCCTGGTCGCCGCGCGCGGTTTCTTCCCCGCCGCCCCCCCGGCTTCCTCCCCCTCCCCCCAAACACCACCCACCACCCACCCTTTCCCCCCTCCCCTCCCCCCACCTGCGTTGGCTGGTGCTTCCACCCCATCCTAGGTAGAGGGAGAAGGCGGTTACTGTTACTGTAAGGGCGTGGCGCATCTAGTACTTTTTCCCGCCATAATCGCTGGTTGGCAGAATAGTATCGATCGGAGGGTTCGATGTCGCAGCGAAAAAGCCAATCCCCGTCGTTTCTGGCGTGTAACGAATATTTACTGGGTAATAATCAGGTGTTCGAGCTTGTTCGCGAGCTGGTTATTTTGGTTCGGTCTAGTTCACGCGCTAATGAAGCAGATGTGTGTACGCCCTAATCTTTTGAGCAGGAGATCCATGCCTGGAGGTACAGTAATGCTTTCCTGCTTTTCTGCATGAGATTTGTGTGCGTCGTCCGCTCTACCCCAACCAGTGTTCGGAACGGAACACATGAAGGAACTCGCTCTTTGTCGCTGTAGTAGTAGAGGTCCACTTCGACTAATCAGCACTAGGTTGCCTTTCCGTTCTGGTGTATTCCCGCCTCGTCGTCGCCCACTTTGCGAAGACTGTGTCATGAATCCGTGCCCGTGTAGTCGCCACAGCGAGCTAGGAAGCGATGCTGAAGGTTAGAGACCATTGTGGGGGGCGCTGTCGTGATCCGCCGGCTTTTTAGAGACCTTAGTTTTTTTTTTCCCCCGAATTTTCCGACTGATCGGGATAGATTTAAACTTCTTAGTGCCATTCAACAAAAATTCTGATTCCATCCTCACTTCACTCCTTCCTTGCTCGGGTCCTCCGTTCAAACCCTCTCGCTATCCCCTGAATGACACCTTAGTTCGCTGCCGCCTTGCCTCGACTCACTTCACCTCCTTAGCACGATGATCCCTTCGCTTTATTCACCGCCGCTTCAGTCACACTCGCGCGCTGGAAGCGTAGCTCTCGTCCTCTCTCGTCCGCGTCAGCCCCTCGAGATGGCCGTCCAGTCCTCCGCTTCCGCTGCTTCCGCCGCTTCCGCCTCTTCCCCCGCTTCCGCCTCTTCCCCCGCTTCCGCCGCTTTTGCCGCTATCCCCGCGCAATCTTCGTCGTTCCTCCGCCAATCGTCTGGCCGCCTCGCGTCGCAAGCGGCGGCCTCCGCGTCGTCCGCGTCGTCATCGTCTGCTCACCTTCCGCAGTCTCCGCCCACCGCCTCTCCCGCGCGTGCTTCCGGGGGGCAAGCAGCCCTTTTCCCCGCTCTCTCGTGCGCGGCTAGCCTCAGCGGCGGAAGCATCAGATTAAGAAGTATCAACGGCAGGCCGAGCGGAAACAGCTGCAGCAGCAGCAGCAGCCACCGCGGCAGTCGCGTTGTAAATCACTTCTCTGGCGCCTCGAGATTTCATTCGCCGCCGCCCAGAGCCACGGCACGGGCGTACGGGCTACGGCAGGACCACGGCGCGTCGGCGGAACGAGCAGAGGCGCGGAGACTACCGCCGCCAGGTCGGCCCGCGCTTCTCGGGAGCAAGCTTCCGGTGAGCGCGTTTGGGGGGGAAGAACAGGGGGAAGGGCGAGGGGGGGGGGAAGGGAAGGGGAGATGGGAGGGAAGAGGATTTGAACGACCAGTCGGTGGAGCTGGTAATAACGCGTAATGGAGGAGGACAGGGTGGGTGTAGGAAATTTGCTAGCAGGTTAGAGAAGGGTAATTTAGGTCAAATATTATTTTTGTAACAGAATATCCATCGTGGCAAGGTTTCGCGGAGATGATCAGGAGCATGTGTCCATTCGTCGAGCCAGCCTGCGCTTCGTCTCGGCTTTTGAGTCGCCTAAAAAATGAAAAACTGCGCTTTGTCTCGGCTTATTGTTGTAAATCTTACAAGTGCCGTCTTGCCTTATCATCTTTTCTCCACTCCCCTTTCCTCTTTCCGCGCTACTCTCCCCCCTTTCGCCTCCCTTGTGCGAATGCGCCGCTTTCCTTCATCTCCCCCCTCCCCGTTTCCACCCCCACCTCCCCTCCCTTCCCCCTTTCTCCGCAGCTCCCTTCCGCTTCCCCTTTCTCTCCGTTCACACGCCCGTCGCAGCAACGGCTGGGCGACTCCGTGCGATGCCGCGCGAGCGCCAGGCGACGCTCTGATCGCGAGCAGCTGCTGACGCACACCGTGGAAGAGTGAGAACACTTTTTAAAACCCGCGTAACAAATGTCCCAAAATTGCCTCAAGCTTAGCTAGGTTTTTTAGAATTCTAAAAAAACTAACTAAGCCTACCTTAGGTTGAGCGTTCCCTAGGAGAACTACTCGACAATCAATCCCGTCCTCCTATCCAACCAACCTTCCTACCACGTATTTGCACCATTTTGTAGAAAATCTTGTATAACGGAAAGCCAAAAAATAGCACAAAGAAAACACTAAACAAATACTGGCGCAGCAAGGTGATACATGGAGGTTGGGCCTCGGAATAAACCAGAACGCGCGAATGTATCTCATTGTGACGCATTCTTTCGTACCTGCTCCTTACAGTAGACTTTCTCGAGAGCAGCTGGTAATTGGGTCATGGTAACTCGGGCGTGCGTGGGACATGAGCCATGGCGACGTGGCTACTGACTATGGCGTCTATATTTGCATATCGCGGGGGACAGTCTAGTAGTCGTTGTTTTTTTCCTCCTCCAATGTTCTTTCTTCTTGAGACAGAATCTCCCGCCCTCTCCCGCCCTCTCCCGCCCTCTCCCGCCCTCTCCCGCCCTCTCCCGCCCTCTCCCCCCTCTCCCGCCGTCTCTCGCCCTCTCCCTTTCCCTTCCAGTCCAGGCCTCCCCCCCGAACCAACCAGGTCGTCTCTCGCACGGGTTTGTCACTTATCTGTCAAACACCTAACATCTCCCCCCCCACCCTTCCTCTTCCGCCGCCCCCCCCTTCTCTTCCCCCCTCATGATTCCCCTTCCCCCCTCCCGCCCTTGCGCGCGCACCAGGGGCGAGACGCTGTGGGGCATAGCGCAGCAGTACGGCGTGCGGGTGAAGGACATACTGCGCGCGAATGGCCTCACAGACGTGCACCACGTGGAGCTGGAAACCACTCTCGTCATCCCACGTGGCGCTTCCAGCGCCACCAGCAGCAACCTCAACAAAATCAAGAATACCACCAATACCTCCCCCTCCTCCTCCTCCACTGGTGCCGGCGATGCCACGGCCACAGGCAACCTCGCGGCTGCTGTTGCTGCTGGCGCTGCTTCCCCTTCCTCCTCCTCCTCCGTCTCCTCTGCTGCCGCTGCCAGTGCTGGTCAGCGGTTTGGGGGCGCTAGAAAGACTACGAGCGACGTCACCAGAGGGGATGATCTCACCATTGGCAGCAGCAGGGGCCGCAGCAGCAGCAGCAGCGGTGAGGGCGGTGAAGGAACAGCAGCGGATGCAGCTCTCTCGTCCGGATCCGTGTTCCAGTCAGTGGGGGCTGCGCTGCTCGGCCGCGTCAAGGTGGGTGCACGCTGGGCTAGGCTGGGCTAGATTGGACTAGCCTGGGCTAGGCTGGGCTAGGCTGGGCTAGGCTGGGCTAGGCTGGGCTAGGCTGGGCTAGGCCGGGCTAGGCTGGGCTAGGCCGGGCTAGGCTGGGCTAGGCCGGGCTAGGCTGGGCTAGGCCGGGCTAGGCTGGGCTAGGCCGGGCTAGGCTGGGCTAGGCCGGGCTAGGCTGGGCTAGGCTGGGCTAGGCTGGGCTAGGCCGGGCTAGGCCGGGCTAGGCCGGGCTAGGCCGGGCTAGGCTGGGCTAGGCTGGGCTAGGCTGGGCTAGGCTGGGCTAGGCTGGGCTAGGCTGGGCTAGGCTGGGTCATGGGGTCAATTTCGTGATTGACTGGGGATGGGGAGTGGAGTAGCGGACGTGACTGGAGAAGACCAGGGGGGCATGGGAGAATCGTTGGAAACGAACTTGGAGGGTGGTGTGGCAGGGTATGGCAGGGTATGGCAGGGTATGGCAGGGTATGGGAGGGTATGGGAGGGTATGGGCGGCGAATGAGGCTGCTCGTCAGGCTGGTGGTGCTGCTCGTTAGTTGGTGACGAATGAATGAGGCAATCTGTGGCAGGGTATGGGCGGGTATGGGCGGGTATGGGCGGGTATGGGCGGGTATGGGCGGGTATGGGCTGGTATGGGCAGGTATGGGCGGGTATGGGCGGGTATGGGCGGGTATGGGCGGGTATGGGCGGCGAATGAGGCCGCAGCACCACCAAAGCATTCCATCCAGGTCCCTCCTCCCCTTCCCTCCTTCCCTTCCCTCCTTCCCTTCCCTTCCTTTCCTTTCCGTGTTACAAGATTACAGCTCTCCACCCTCCCCTCCGCCTACCCCCTCCCTTCCCCCACCGCCCCTTACGCACCAGCCCCCATCACCACCACCAGCAGCATGACCGCCCGGAGCAGTCTGAAGAGCTGCCGCTGCTACAGGCGCGGGCGAGCCTTTGAGTCGACTCGAAATCAGTCCCCACCCCCCACTACCCCACCCCACCCCGCCCCACCCCACCACCAGCAGCGAGACCGCCTGGAGCATTTTGAAGATCTGGCGCTGCTACAGGCACGGGCGAGCGCCTGGCTGGACTCAGAATCAGTTCCACCCCACCCCACCCCACCCCATCCCATCCCACCCCGCCGCATGCAGCGAGACCGCCTGGAGCAGTCTGAAGAGCTGGCGCTGCTACAGGCGCGGGCGAAGCACCAGGTGGGTGGGTGGGCTGGTATGGGTTGTGCGCTTGTGCCCGATGGAGCCAGACAATCTTCCATCAACATTCGTGACGGTGGGGACATTCCAAAGCTGTCTGGCTCTCACTCTCTGGTCTGTAGGCTGTAGGTCCATAAGGAAGGTGGCGACTTTTGAGCCGAATCAAAAGTCAACTCTGTGGTCTGTGTAGGTCTATCAGACAGGTCGGCTGCTCTGCTTGGGTGAAGGCTCGGCATGGGAATATATGTGAGGTGTGGGGATTTATGCTTGGGAGAGATGGGGTTACGAGGGGTCCCTATAAATGGTCCCTAGAAATTGGCTGGAGAATTCTTACTAGTTTTACTAGTAGACCCACTTCCCCATGCTCCCCTAACTAATTGTCCTCCCCCCATACTCCTGTTTTTTCCCCCTCGCCCTCTGCTCATTCAGGGTGCCTGGAATTGCATACAAGGCACCTTCTCGTCCCTCCACTCCTCCCTCCTGCAGCGGTGGCACTCTTCTACTGCTGCTGCTCCCACACTCCCTACCACGCCCCCCTCTCTCTCCCCCCACTCCACCACCCTCCCCAGAAGCCTTTTCTCCCAAGGCGCCCTCCTCATCCCCCTCCTCGCGTCCCTCTCTGTCGCGCTCCTCCTCTCCCTCCTCTCCTTCCTCCGGCCTATCCTCCTCCGCCTCCGTGCTTTGCGAGCAGAAAGGGAAGCGGCTACAGCCACTGCTAACCCCCTCATTGCACCCTTTGGAGCTTTGGGAATGGGGGCCGGGCAAAGAGGGGGCAAGGGAGGGGGGGGGCTGTTAGCAGGTGGCAATGGTGGTGCTGGTGCTGGGGTTTCTTCTGGGGTTGGTGTTGATGGGGATGAGAGAGGAGGGATGGGAGAAGGGGATGGTGGAGGGGGAGTGAGTGGAGGGGTGCCGTTTTTGGGTGCTGCAGCAGCGATGATGCTGAATGAGGATCGACGGCTGAGAACGTCAGATTGGACTAGAGCACGGGGAGGAGCGTCCACGGCGGCAACTGCTGCTGCTGCCGGTTCTGCTGCTGCTGGGTTGGTGCGTCTCCCCTCCCTCCCTCCCTCCTTCACTCACTCACTCACTCACTCAACCTCTCCGTCTCTCTTTCTCTCTCGCCTTTCTCTCCCCTATCTCCCATATCTCTCGGCCCCCCCACTCTCCCCTCCATGTTTTCCCCATTTGTCACTCCTCCCCCTTCCCCCCCCCTCCCCATCAAAACAAAAACCTGCATTGTTTCCAGAGGGGACCTAACCCTAGAGGACGTGGCAAGGGACCAATGACTACAACATGCAGGCATCTCCCCTCGCTCCTCTCTCCCATTCATATCCCACTCCCATTCTCACCCCTCCCCGCTTCTCCCCCACCCCCCTTCCACAGGCCGAAGCCGTTTTCTAATTCTAAGAGTCTTAATCCCAGCTCAAGGATGTGGCTCGGGACTAAGAGGAGATCGTGCAATGCCACCCCTGTTGCTCCTGCTAGTACCCGCTCCCGTTCCCCGTCTCCTCATACTCTCCCTGTTCTCCTCTCCTTTCCACTAATCCCCTAGGCCCAGCCGGACCTGACGCCCGAGGACGTGGCTCGGAACTATGAGGAGATGGTGCGAGTGGCTCGTGTTACCACGAGGGCATAGCGCCGCCGCACGAGTCAATCCTCCCCCCCCACTACATCCCCTCCGCCTTTTTTCTCCCCATAACATCCCCCCCGTCCCTTCCCCACCTCCCATTCTCTCAGGCCCGAGCGGACCTGACCCCCGAGGACGTGGCTTGGGACTAAGAGGAGATCGTGCGGTGCGGTGCAGTGCTACCCCTCCCTTCCCTCCCTCCCCTGCTGCACCGCCTCACAACACACCCTGGCTTTCATTTCCCCCTTCTCTTCCAGGCCCGGGTGGACCTGACCCCCGAGGACGTGGCACGGGACTATGAGGAGATCGTGCGGTGCTACCACGAGGGCATGGCGTCGTCTTATGAGTCGTTTCTGAGGGACAGTGGCGCCATGTCTGCCGGCCGCTTCCGGGGCGGCATGCCGTCCAAGTTCAGGCCCAAGCCGAAGCAGCGGTGATGAGATGGAGACGGGGCGAAGAGGGGATTGTGAGGGGAAGAGAGTATCGAGCACCCCTGTTGCTGCTGCTGCTGCTGTTCCTGGTGGTTTTTTTAGCTTAGCACCCACCCACACGGTGTCCGCCCTCCTATGCTCTGAGATACTGGATTGTGCCCTCCCATGACCATCGCGCTGTGGCAAGTCTTCCGTGCCGAACCTGCCAGTCCGAGCCTGTCATTCCGAACCTGCCAGTCCAAGCCTGCCATCCCGAACCTGCCAGTCCGAGCCTGCCAGTCCGAGTCTGACATTCCGAACCTGCCAGTCCGAGCCTGCCATTCTGAACCTGCCATTCCGAACTTGCTACTGCGAACCTGCAACATGGTCCCCACAACGCATCATCCCCCACCTGGCGTCCTGCTTGCCCTCCCACACCGCTGCCATGGTCCCATGCCCTCACCACCATCTTGCCGCGCCCTCACGTGCCATGCAACTCAGTCCACGCACCATGCAATGCATTTGCCAAGCGTCGCCTCCTCGCCTCCCCGTACTCCATGTGTCCATTACCCCCACCTCGTCACCTCCCCACGTCGTCACCTCCCCACGTCGTCACCTCCCCTCGTCGTCACCTCCCCACGTCGTCACCTCCCCTCGTCGTCACCTCCCCACGTCGTCACCTCCCCACCTCGTCACCTCCCCACCTCGTCACATTCCCACCTCGTCACCTCCCCACCTCGTCACCTCCCCACCTCGTCACCTCCCCACGTCGTCACCTCCCCACGTCGTCACCTCCCCACCTTGCCACCTCCCCACCTCTTCACCTCCCCACCTCGTCACCTCCCCACCTCGTCACCTCCCCACCTTGCCACCTCCCCACCTCTTCACCTCCCCACCTCGTCACCTCCCCACCTCGTCACCTCCCCACCTTGCCACCTCCCCACCTCGTCACCTCCCCACCTCGTCACCTCCCCACCTCGTCACCTCCCCACCTCTTCACCTCCCCACCTCGTCACCTCATCACCTCACAGCTGCATCCCCTCTCCTCCCATGACCGACTGTCCGCGTCTCCCGTAACAAAGCTTCACCCACTGTCTCAAACCTCCATACAGGCACCTTATCTCACTACTTGTTTGGTGTCAGACATTGACAGCCCAGTTGTTAGCAGCAGCAGCAGCAGCAGCAGCAGCATGAGCAGTGCGCACCAACGCACACACTTCACTTTCGAGGCGCCTCAAGAGCAGCAGCCGCACCAGATTTGCCTACCAACAACTTGAGCACAAAAGCACGCTCTCTCCACTCCACCTACCAACCAGCACCCCTGTGTGAGCGTAACAAACAGCTCGTTTACGAAGTGTGGGCCGGGTCGGGTCAGGCATGCATGAATGGATCATGGATCAACCTCTATCCCTCTCTCCTGCCGTCCACGTGCCTCAATGGCTATCTGTCTTACCTACCTATCAACCAACCACACCCATGGTGTCTCATGATTTTACTTACCTACGGACTAGGCTACATAACTGGCTCCTTCCTCTGCTACATCATTTGCCACACTGTAAGGCCTTCCATTATAATTTTGATTGTAGTGCTGTTGTAGCTTGTGTGTGCAGTGCGTGGGTTGGGTTGGGGAGTGCGTGGAGGCTTGATAACTTAGGTGTGCCTGTTTGCAGTTGCTTGCAGCAGGCTTGATTTTTTAGGCATCTCAAAATTTGATTTTTGAGGCGCCTATAATTCGTGGAGGCTCAAGTCGAGACATCCTAGGTGTGCCGTGCCTGTTTGCAGTTGCTTCCAGCAGGCTTGTTCGGTGAAGTGGTGGGTGGGTGACACACTAGGTAGGTAGGTAGTAACGAGGTGGGTAGCTGTTTGTTTTAGAGGGTTCACTCAATATTCTAGGCCTTGACAAAGGACGCCATGCCACACCACAAGGTTCCTTCCACTACATGCATGTTGCTTGACTCCTTTCCAGTGTGAAACGCTGTTACTGTGTATTCATTTCAAAGATGGTGTACAATACTGTTGGCATGGTTCACTGCCTTCTATCCCATGATGTCTGATACATCCATGAGCCATGCAGATGGCACCATGAGGCATGCAGACGGCACCAGCAGCCTCCACACCCAAGCCCTCACTGACAAAAAATTGACAGCTTATAACTCTGAACTGCAATCCAGAACACACAAACAGGCTGACTCAACCAAACAGCAGTCCCTACCAGCATAGTCCCTCCCCAGCATCATCAGCATCACCACCAGCATCAGCAGCACCTGCAGCATCAGAATTGCTCAGCTCATCCACGAACCCAAGGCACCAGCTGCAGCATCTTGGCTAGCAGCAGGCTTGCTGGGAGGAAAGAGGACCCTTGGCAATGATGAGGTGGGCGGTGTCATTTGTCTTCACCAGATGCCAGCCCTTCTTGGACGTGTGCTTGAGCACAGTGATGGACGTGTTGTCGATGCCGATGTTCTGTGTGAGGTGGGGGTTGGACCCGAGGAGACCGCGGAGGAGGCATCGTATGGCAGTCCCGTGAGAAAAAACAGCGACCCGGAATACACCATCCTTGCTGTGATGGCTTCCGCTGCTGCTGCTGGCATGGCTTGCATGGGCGTTACCAGCGTTACCGTTGGTACCGCTGCTCTGACTGTCCCCACTTGTTGCTGCTGCTGCTGCTGCGTCTCCTCCTGTGGCTTGTGCTCCAGGAGAAAAGAAAGGTGGCCTTGGACGGCGCTCCTTGGTAGCTGTGGCAGCAGATGAAGAGAATGAGGAGGAGAAGGAGGTGGAAGAGAAAGCGGCGGCGGAGGAGGAAGTTGAAGAGGAGGAGGAGGGGGAGGGGGAGGCAGAGAGGTGGTGCAGGGACGGAGCGGAGTGGCTGGTGTGGAGGCCAAGGCAGTGCGCAGCAGCGAGGGCGGAGGGGCCCGGGGAGATGAGGTGCTGGCGGGCGAAGAGCACGCTGTTGATGAACTCCACCATGCGGAACTCCACCTGGGAGAGCGGGGGCGAGGGGGGACAGGGGAGAGAGGGGGGAGCGCGGCGAGGGAGGTTAGGGGAAGGAGGGTGTTTTAGTTGGCAAGAGGTGATAGAAAGGACGAGTTTAGAGACGGGAGTTGAGGTGCTGGCGGGCGAAGAGCACACTGTGATGAGCTCCACCATGCGGAACTCCACCTGGGAGGGGGGGTGGAGTAATCTCGTTTCGAGACATGAGGTCTAAAAGCGAAATTCCCACCCCTACCTGTCGCTGTGACTCCCCTCCAGGGGCAGTGAAGACAGGGTGGCTGGGCAGCAGTCATCTGATCCTGCATGCTTCGCTGACAGCTGCGTTTGACTTGTCTCAAAATCCCTATTCTTCCCTGTTCCCTCCATTCCCACCCCTTCCCACCCCTTCCCATCCCACACCCACAACAACCAGTGCTTGCCTGTTTCTGGCTCCCCTCCCAACTCCAGGAGCTCTTAATTCCGGCTGGGTGGCGGTCATGTGCTCCAGCACGCCCCGCTGGTAGATGGAGTTAACTCAGAAGTTACCAAACCCCAGACACCCCCTTGCTCCACCCCCCACACATCCATGTCACTGTGACATGTGAAGCACCCCCACTTCCCCCCCCCCCCTTTCACACACAACCACCTGTCTCCGGCTCTCCCCTCCAGGGGCTCTGAAGTCCGGCTGGGCGGCGCGGTGGTGATCCCCGCTCAAAGACGGCCGCGGCTGCCACTTTAGGCGACCCTTGAGTCGAATCAGAAACTACTGACACAGATACCCCCCCCCCAACACACACACCCACCTGGCTCCCGCTCTCCCCTCCAGGGGCTCGGAAGTCCGGCTGGGCAGCCGCTCCCCGCTCTGAAATCCCCAGACATCCCCTCCCTTCACCCCCCACACACATCCACCTGTCTCTGGCTCTCCCCTCCAGGCGCTCTGAAGTTGGGCTGGGCAGCAGTCATCTCCTCCAGCACGCCATGGTGGTAAATGGACTGCCGCGGCTGCCGCTTAAGGTGACTCTTGAGTCGACTCAGAAGCTACCGACACACAGACAACCCACCCCTCCCTCACACACCCACACCCACTCCCACCTGTCTCTGGCTCTCCCCTCCGGGGGCTCTGAAGTCAGGCTGGGCAGCAGTCATCTGCTCCAGCACGCCGTGGTGGTAAATGGACTGCCGTGGCTGCCGCTCCCACGACCCCTGCGACAGCTCCTGCAGCTCGTCCGAGTACTGGATGCGGCTCTCCGACTCGCCTATCTCCTGAGGAGGTGGGCGAGGGAAAGGGGGGAGGAAAGCGGGGGAGAAGGGAGGGCGGGAGCGGGAAGGGGACGAGTGTGGTGCATGTGTTGTGTCGCCTGAAACCATTGACTCCTGCGACAGCTCCTGCAGCTAGTCCGAGTACGGGATGCGGCTCTCGGGCTCGCCTATCTCCTGAAGAGGTGGGTGAGGGAAAAAGGGGGAGAAGGGAGGGAGGGGGAAGGGAACGAGTACCATCTGTTGTGCTCCCTGAAGCCATGACCCCTGCAACAGCTCCTGCAGCTCGTCCGAGTACTGGATGCGGCTCTTGGGCTCGCCTATCTCTCCTGAGGAGGGGGGTGGACACAGGGGAGGACAAGGGGGAGGACAAGGGGGAGGACAAGGGGGAGGACAAGGGGGAGGACAAGGGGGAGGACAAGGGGGAGGACAAGGGGGAGGACAAGGGGGAGGACAAGGGGGAGGACAAGGGGGAGGACAAGGGGGAGGACATGGGGGAGGACAAGGGGGAGGACATGGGGGAGGACAAGGGGGAGGACATGGGGGAGGACATGGGGAGGACAAGGGGGAGAACAAGGGGGAGGACATGGGGGAGGACATGGGGGAGGACAAGGGGGAGAACAAGGGGGAGGACATGGGGGAGGACATGGGGGAGAGGGAAGCGGGAAGGGAATATGTTCAGTGCATCTGCTGTCTCTCCTAAGCCCAAAACTCTCGCAAGTACTGGATGCGGTTCTTGGGCTCGCCTATCTTCTGAGGAGGTGGGAGAGGGGGGGGGAAGGTTGGAGGAAAGGGGGAGGAGGGGAGGGAGGGAGGAACGGAAGGAGTGTGAAGCCATTGGCCCATGCAACAGCTCCTAAAGCTCGTCCGAGTACTGGATGCGGGTCTCTGGAACGAGTACCATAAAAACCTCAACAACAAGCACAGTTCTCTCATCACACAACCACCCACCCACCTGGCAGACGATGACAGCAGTCTGCTTGGAGCGCTCGATGGGCGAGGAGAAGATGGCGTCGAAGCGCAGCGCGGCATAGTCCCGCAGGAAGGCCCCCAGCAGGTGCGCCTGGCGCTGGCCCAGCGCAGTGAGAGGCGCATCGTGAGACCGGCCCCCGATGAGCGTCGACACGTTGTGCGACGCCTCGCCGTGCCTGGTGTGTCAGTGGGAATGGGTGGGTGGGGGGGTGGGTGGATGGGCAGAGGCAGAGGGAGAACACAAGGTCCCGATGAGTGACAACACGTTGTGCGACGCCTCGCCGCGCCTGGTGTATTCGTGAGGGCAGTCAGGGGGGTTGGGGACGGGAATGCGAGGGGGTAGAGACAGAGGGGGAGCACAACACCCCGATGAGCGACAGCACGTTGTGCGACGCCTCACTGTGCCTGGTGTGCCAGTGGGAATGGGTGGGTGGGCGGGTGGATGGGGGTGGATGGGGGAGGATGGGGGTGGATGGGGGTGGATGGGGGTGGAGTCGGAGGGAGGACACGATGACCCGATGAGCGATGGCACGTTGTGCGGTGACTTGCCGTGCCTGGTGTGCCAGTGGGAATGGATGGGTAGGTGGGTAGGTGGGTAGGTGGGTGGGGGGTTGGAGACGGAGGGAGGACACAACGACCCGATGAGCGATGATAGGTTGTGCAATGCCTCGCTGAGCCTGGTGTATTCGTGAGGGCAGTCAAGGGGGGTGGGGAAGGGAGTGAGTGCGTGGGGGGGAAAACAATGGGGTGATGGGGAGTAATGATGGAGAAAGGGAGGGAGGCTGGGAGGGAGGCTCACCGGATGATGTAGAACTCAGTGGAGAAGTCGCTGGGGGTAAAGGAGGAGTGCAGGAAGGGGTGCGAGGAGAGCGGGCGAGACACACTCATCACATCCAGCTGAGCATCCAGCAGCCCCTGCCATGCCTCCGACCCTGCTGCTTCCTCTCCATTACCCTTCCCTGCTTCCACTTTCTCCCCATCCGAAACAACTCCACCACCACCAGCACCTGCTGTAATGCCAGCAGCAGCACCACCAGCAGCAACAGCAGCAGCAGCAGCAGCAGGGTCATAAGGCGCAGGCGGATCATCTCCACCAGAAGTCATCTCAGGCCCTGCTACCGTTCCAACAGCTGCCACGATGACTCCATTACTGCCTGGTCTCACGGTCACCAGCTTCTCACCACTCACCCAGCTCTGCTCCTTCCCTCCTCTTCTCCCCGGCTTCCCCTCCCCGTGTGCCTCCGCCGCTGCTGCTAGAGCGTCAGCGACTGCAGGGCTGGGGGCAAGCATGTGACTCAGGGAGAGCTCCCCAGAGTCCCCCACGCTGCTAGCAATGCTCCTGCTAGTGGCACTCTCTTTTGATTCTCCACCACCTTCCCCAGCAGCAGCAGCAGCAAAACTAGCACCATATCCACCACTTCGGCTGCTGCTGACGCTGCTGTAGCTTTCAGTCCCGTCGCTGCTCTCCCCTGCCAGCTTCCCAGCGAAACCATCCGCACTGCCACCGCTGCTGCTGCTGCCGGCACTGCTAGTGCTGCCGCCGCTGCTGCTACGGCTGCGGCTACCAGAGCCGGCCCCACTAGGAGCAACAACATCTGCATTCACCAACCCCTGGCCCACACCTTCCAAAGCAACCATAGCAGCAGCCACAGCCGCAGCCGCAGCAGCAGCAGGAGCAGCAGGAGAAGCAGGAGCAGGAGCACCAGCGCCGCTGGAAGAATTACCACTGGCAGCAGCAGGGGCAGCAGCGGCAGTAGGCGGCAAGAGGCGGACGGCTGGAAGCATGTCATGGGGGGTGGGGGCGGGGAGGGAGGACTGCGGGGAGTTGTGCTGCGGCTCCACTGGCAGCTGCGACTGCCGAAACGGACTCACCTCCGGCTCCTGCTCCAACAGCAACACGCCACCCGCACCAGTACCAGCCGTACCATCACCAGCACCAGCACCAGCACCAGCACCAGCAGCAGCACCAGAAGGGCTAGTTCCGGAAGAATCACCACTGCTTCTGATGCTCGTCTTCTCCCTTACTCTCGTCCCATTGAGGCCGTTCGCTCGCCCTGCGTCACCCAGCCTTCCGCCTGCCCCGGTTGGTCCGTCTGCGCGGGAGTACGATCTTAGGCCGCTGCGGGGAGGTCCCCCCACCACTTCCCGCCGGTAACTCCCGCCTTCTTCTGACGACGGCTCCCGCTTCGCCTCCCGCTGCTTGCTCGTGCCCTTGCTATTGCCCTTGCTATTGCCCTTGCTCGTTAACGGCCATTCCTCCTCGGCTGCTAGGTCGTTGCCTCTCACACTGTCGGGGTTATGATGATTTGGCTGTGCTGGATGCCTGGACCCAGGGGCACTGCTCGCAGCCACCGGCACCCTTGCGGGACGGCAGTCTCGTCCCACGAGACTCCTCTGTTCGCCTCCCTCGGGTAACCCTTCGCCTTGTTCGTCGCCCTCCTCCATTCTATCCTCGTCCACACCATTACCTGCCTGACCGCGATTAGCTACACCGCGCTGCTCCTCCTCCCCATCCTCCTCCTCATCATCCTCCTCCCCCTCGTCCTCTCCTCGTTGCCTCTCCTCCTCTTCCTCGTCTGATCCGGAGTCGGAATCGTCGTTAACCGACTGGTTCGCCCCCATTCGAGTCTTGTTGGTCTCTCCGCCTGAGTAAAAGACGGCATTGACGAGATTTGAGAGAAATGCGGGGAAGAAGCAACAAGAGATTGAGGTTAGACGTTAGGCGTGATTGGTAAGGAGACTCAAAACACGGTCTCGCTAAAGGAAATGACGGAAATCGACTCAATACACGGTCTCCACTTCAAAAGTTTTTGAGCTACGGGGGGAGGATGGTGCCGTAACCAGTGCACAGCGCGATGTGCACAGCGCGAACCAGTGTGGATACAAGTTACAAGAAAAAAATACTCCGAACGGCCGGTGTGGTTTGAAATTTGAATTTTACTGTCAGAAAAGTAAGCGAAAAAAAGTCATTTCACGGGAAAAAGAGGTAGGAAAGTCAGCGAGGAGAAGAAAATGGGGGAGCCAGCCGGATAGAGTTCATATTTGACCAAATGGAAGAAATAGAGCTTGGATAACTAACCTCTAACAGGAGTACAACGCTCGGATAGTTGCCTGACGGAGAACCGCGATTCAATAGAGGACGAAGTAAAATAGATAAGTCGCGACGTAAGCAGAGACTGCTACAGAGACGCTACTGAACCGTAGCTACGGGGTCGCTGATATTAGCTGGAGTAATGGCAACCCTGGCCGTTTACCAGACAGGAGATGTAGCGAAGGCCTAGAACTTGTAGGTACATACGAAGCTCGTCAGAGTCGCACAAGATTTTAGGGTGCCGAAAATCCAATCGGTCAAGTATTTCGCATTCCCTCGCCACGGGCAAATGAGGCTTTCGCACGAGCACACGGCGAAATGGGTGGGTATTTGTGGGGGGGGCTTGTGTGGCGATGTTTGTTGCCAGTGTGCGACTCTTGTGAAGCGATCAGTCGACGGCGGTGCACAGTTGCGTGGCGACGAAACCTCGTCGGCAACAACGTGTCCCTTGCTATATGTTTGTCGCAGACGCAATTATGAGTGACTCAAACGGATCTCCCATTGCCCGTATATCAGGGGTTTTGGAAAAGGATTCTGATTGGCGCCAGGTTGAGCTGCGATAAGGTTGGGCATCGACTGTACACGTTGGGTCCAAGGGCCTTGCTGTCTGCTACACATTTTCGAAAAGCCAAGACAAGGGAGGCCCGGCTGGAGTGTGGAGTGGAGTCGTAAATGCGGAATGCGCGAAAATAAATTGCCAGGCATTTGGGGGGGGGGGGGGGGGGGGGGGGGGGGGGGGAGGGGAAGTTGGGGGGGTGTGCGGGGGGAGGGGAGGGGAGGAGGCAAGGGAAGGGAGGGAAATGAATCAGGTGTGCGGAATGCGGTTTGGGCTTTGGTCCAATCGGCGGGAAGGAAAGTGGGAGGTGAGTGCGAGGGACGGTCAGATTTCGTGCGTTGTCTGCCACTCGCGTTTGTACCCATTATTTAAGGGCGTGTACCTTACGGTTCCGGAACTGAGTTCCGTCCGAGTTCTGGTGTAGTGACAAATTCCGCCACAAATCGCACGCAAGTTCGCTAAGCCTGTTGCGAAGGATTCTTCGATTTCGAAACTCGATGTTCTAGCGACGTCCGGACGCCAGTATCGAACGATCGTCCGGACGGCCATTCGAGAATCTCCCTCCAGTTCTGTGCGAAAGGAACACGCGATGCGGAAATGACACCAAGTCAGCGATCGAATTTGCTCGCGCGCCTGAACTGCCAATCGCGGAAGTGACATGTGCTGCGAGATTCGTCATGCCTAGCATGTGATTGGCTCACGAGGGGCTGGGCTTCGTTTATTCGCATATCACTTTTCGCACATCGTTCAAACGTTTGAACGATGGAACATCCAGTTTCGAAACTCGATGTTCCACCGACAGACAGCAATCATAGTTGAGTATCGAAACTCGATGTTCCAGCGACGAACGGAACTCGCGTATATCGAGTTCGGAACTGAGTTCCCGAACTAGGCCAACGAAACCGCAGGCTACACGCCCTAAATATTCGTGCATTCGGTCTTTGAAATATACGTGGGTGGTACAAAACAGGCCTTATTTTATCAGAGTAATTCACCCCGTTTCTCTGAAAAACAGGGTGGCTTTTGGAAGTCACTTTGATGGTCCTGGGTAAAAAAATTTGAAAGTATAATTTTCTCTGATTTATTAGACTTAGTCCATGTACCACCCTGTGGGATTTCCTATAAGGGGCATACCCCCTGGTTTTCCATGTACTCCTCATAAACACTTGTATGCGTGGCCTTGATTCCCTGACGGTTTCACCCGCACCGCTCGCCGATCACATGTCATTTGCAGCCAAGATTCCTCAAACTGGAATATGCCTCTCTGCCCATTAGACACTTGGGCATCTTCTTTCGCGACATCAGCAGGAATCGAGCATGCGGCTGCTGAAATTGCCAATACTGGAAGAATGTCGTGTGCCTATTGGGCACTAAGGAAAAAAGATTGCGAGGCAGCAGCTGCCAGCACATCGCCTCGGCAGCGCACCCAGATGCGGCTAGCATTGCTGCTCTTGTGGCATGCACCTCCCCTCTCGGGACGCGCCTAAGGAGACAGTAAAGCCAGTTGTTTCCCTTCATGTTTGATCCATCACTGCAAGAAACCGTCGTCCCCTCCGACTCTCCCTTGCCCCAAGCAAGAGAGATTCCCCCTCTCACAACTGTTAGAGCATAACGATTTTCCTAGTCTTGAGTCAGAACGATTATCCTAGTCTCAGTCGTTCCCTGCCAGAGTTCGTCATGGGAGACTCGGACGATGAGGAAGATGAGGGGGGGGGGGGCGATCCTAGCGCTAAGCGTTCGTTTAGAAGCGCACCCCTCAGTGGCCTTGATTTCCTTCGTCGAACCCATGCCGCTCCTGTGTATTCAAAACCCCTCCCAACTCTTAGCGGCGAAGAGTAGGAGCGAGATCTCGACAAGGTAATTGAGACGGTTGCCTCGCCCGCCAAGCCCCCGCTCACCACTCCTCTCGCCACGGAAACTCCATCTGCTTCTACTCCCACGTCGAACATCCCTACCCCTCCTCTTGCCACAAAAGCCCCATCTGCTGCTACTCCCTCGTCGAAGGTTCATGCCCCTCCTGCCGCGACAACCCCATCTCTACTGCATCGACGTCGAAGAAAATGCGTTGATACCAGCAATCCCATTTGCCCTTCGCACCGCCTCCGCCTAAACCACCGACGCCGCCACCGCCACAGCCGGTCTCCGTGCCGTCTGTTAAACCTACGATTATAGAGAAACGTGCGAGGGCATATGAAAAGGCGCAACTCAAATACACCAACGATTGGTTCCCCAAATTTCCCTGGTTGGTCCTCGATAAAACTGACGATAGAATCTCGTGCTTGCGTTGCAATGTTTGCATGGAGCACAGTCCCCTGCACACAAGATACAGGTGCGAGGGCAGTGGTGGTCGAGATCTACAAGTGAGGTCGATGCACGGGCATTTGGAGAGTCAGAAGCATGAGGACGCTGTGAAGAAACAAGAGATGCTGCTGAAGGAGGTGGAACATCAGAAGAAAATGGAGGACTTTGCTGCGAATGACCCCGAGAGCGCGTGTTTCATTCGTCTACTCCGAGCGATGCTGTTCATCTGCAAGGAGGACACACTCATCAGCATGTTTACGCGGCTCGTCAGCTTCCTAGCACAGAAGGGAGTGAAGGACATTCCGAAGCAAACCTACGACGTCTACATAACACAATGAGTTCGTATTCAACTCACCAGTGCATCCTTGTTTACCCTATATCTCATTGACCTCTTAGTTTCCACACCGTGTGCCATTTTTCTTTTTAACGTCCGTTGTCCCTTGGCCTCAATCTAAAAAACCAACCTATTCATGTTTCGGTATGCCTCTCAGGTTGAGCTTCAAGGAGATGGTCAAGGCCATGGTGGCCTTCTTGAAGACATATCAGATGACACACATCCACGCCTCGCCCTGCATCGGCATCAGCTGCGACGAAAGCACCGACATAATGCGCGGGAAAACACATGATAATGTTCGCGACGTTTTTTAAGAAGTGCAAGGTGGTCACGAAGTTCCTTGAACTGCTCACCATTGACAAATGCGACGCGGCCTCGCTGCATTCCGTCATCTTGTCACACCTGGACTCGCTCGTCATAGACCTACCGAAGATTTCTGGAATCAGCACCGATGGGGCATCCGTTACGACTGGCGAGTACAACTGACTGGTCGCGCGCCTGCAGGTGAAGATTCATCACATTGTCGGCATCCATTGTATCGCACACAGGTGAGATCATACGTGGTTACCGGGCCCTCAGATTTCATACAACTTTATCTGATTCAGGGTTATTTCAGAGGTTTTTTTTTTTACCAACCTTCATGCGCTATGATTTTTTTTAGACACAACCTGAAATTTCAAAGGTTTTTTATAGCTGAACTCGGTTTGTACAATGTTGCTATTGTAGTGGACCATGTAGCCTTTGTAACAGCGTGATTGCCCTGCCATAATAACTGCATATGTCCCCTGCTCGATATATGCTGCGGGTTGTGTGCAGGGGCAATTGGCCCTTCGCCAAATTTATGTGTGCGGGCTTGCGTGTGCTGGGGGGTGTGGGGGGGGACTTTTTGGCCCTTGGCCAAATTTATGGCTAGCATGTGTTAGGGGATGTGAGAGGATTCTAGCCTTAGCCAGATTTAGGGCCCAATGTGCGCCTTGGAGCGTTGTGAGGGCGAGATTCCCTCCTCCCGCTCCTGCAATCTTGCTGCAACTTTGGATCGATCGGCGAAAAATTGATTGGCCTAGGCTTCTCGAAAAAAGTCACCGCAAAAAATGACGGCCTCCGAAACATCATGATTCCCGTGGGAATCCTCCTCCATCGTTCCCCCCTTGCCCCCACTCTATCCCCTCATGCCCTCCCCAAGTTCCATTTTGCCCATCTCCCAATTCCGTAAAATCATCGTGATATTCTGAAGTAACCCTAATTACTCAATAATTTTTTTTTGGGAGCCCTGAAAAATCAGGCTAAACATGGGGGGGGGGGACCTTGAGCAATCAGGGTACCTCAAAACCAATCTGAGGCTCTGGTGGTTACATACCCTATTGTGCATGAACACGTGGCACGCTTGCGCATGAACTTGTTCTCACATTTCTTTCCCGTTTTTTGCAGGGAATCTCTTGCAGTCAAGGACGTTGCCACCGCCTTCCCAAATTTCAAGATCATCGACGTGGTAATCCGTGCGTTGGGGGAGATCGTCGGTCGGTCCACCCCCTGGTACGAGAGGTTTAAGTACCTGCAGCTAGTCATTCATAACACCAACCTTGAGCAGAAGGGGTTGTACCTCATCCAGTGGCTCTCGCGGGGGGGTGCCATCAAGCGGCTCTGCAGCATCCTTGGCGCAACGATCGTCGTCCTCATCGAGTACAAGTGCAAGCTGGCAGCCGTGGTGAAGACCCTGAAGTTCCACTACTACCGCTACTTCCTCGCTGATGTCCTCGCCGAGATGAACACCTTGAACATGTTCTTTTAGAGCGATCGTTAAGTTCTCTAAGTTTAATTTATTGCACTTGCTCTGTCCATTATGCTTGTCATTATACCCTGGATAATGTTCTCTGCAACATTCACACGTGTTTGCTCCTACTGTTTATTGACATGCAATTCTCTGCTCTTTATGCTCACCATCCTACAGGTGGACATCACTATCGTGTCTCAAGAGGTGGACCGTACACTCACATACATCAGGCACCGCTACATCGAGTACGGCGCCACCTTCGGCGGCGGCATGAGCAAGAAGCTCTCGAAGCTCCTCGAGTGTCTCGGCAAAGGCAAAAAGAGCATCATCGTCGCCGCCGTGGACAGTGATGGCCGGCCGCACAGTCATTCATTCGAACACAGCAAAGAGCGTCTCACTTCAACACGTTCGGGGGAAGCCAGGCAAACTGCGAGGAGTTGTGCAGTGTGATGGCGAAGGAGTTGGTCGCCAACGTAGAGCAGCGGCTGTGGGACGTGAAGCGCCTTGGTGGCGCGGGACTCTTCAGGATGGAGTGCTGGCTGAAGAAGGTCGAGGCGGGTGAGCGGCGGCATCTGGCGTGGCTGGAATCGAACGTGGCCCTTTTCGACAACAAGCTTCCATGTATGGTTGCATTCACAATTCGATTTTCAACCGTACTTGGTATGTCATATTGAGCTTCCCCCCAACTCCCCTCCCCCCCCTCCACCCCATCATTGCAGGAGTGAACCAGCGGGCGGCAGAGCTGGAACTAAGGACATTCTGTCACATCATGAAGAACCACCGTGCGGATGACGATTTCAGCCAGGGGCTGGCCGTTATGCTCAAGACCCGAGACTGGCCCAAGAGCTACCCGAACCTCATGAGGCTGTGGCAGGCCATGGCAGTGCTGCCATTGAGCACTGTTGAGTGCGAGAGGGGTTTCAGCAGACAGAATGTCATCAAGTTTTGGATGCACACTAGCTTGTGTGACGCAAGGCTGGGCGATCTCATGACCATCAACATGCTCGACTATAACGTCGACTACCCCGAAGTCGTGGACATCTAGAGGAAGCAGAAGGCGTGGAAGCAAGCCAAGTCTGTTGTGTACGAGGTCCTCTATAACCCTACTAAGAGTGTAGATGATGATTCAAATAATTGTGAAAGTGCCTTTTCAGAGGGCTCTAGGGAAGATGAGGATGAGCGATGTTGCCGTGATGGTGGAGGTATCATGTAACAGTGCAATTCTAGTGATAGTGGGCGCGAATTTTGCTAGGTGTATGCATCTAGTGACTGGAAAATGAATTGGCATAAGAGATAACATGAATCAGAGTAAATTAGTTAAATTTAGGGTAAAAAAATTCAGAGTTACAGCTCCAAGGCACTATGAAAATCAAAGTTACGCGAAGGATCACTCGTGAAAATTAGAGGGTCGAAAAAGCAAAGATATCTCAGAGGAAAACTGAATAAAATGATTTACTAGAAAGAATTGTACAAGGACATATATCTAAGGGTTGTACTCTCTAAGAGATGACCCTATACAGTCTATACAAACATTGTAGATAAACATGTTTGACACACCCCCTAGACTGCATAGGGGCAGGTTCTGAACAAGCAGCCCAGGGCGGCACTACTAGTCCAGCCTCTGAGACAAGGGTCTAAAGACCAGTCAAAAGGAGTACAGACAAGACAAGAACAAGACCAGGACGGCACTACTAGTCCAGCCACTGGGAGATGACACAAGTCCAGTCTAAGTACATATGCAGACATATATAGAATAGTACAAGGTCAAGGTCCTAGCAAGTGAGAGGCTACAGGAACTAGACCCAGCTGTACACAGTGCCTCTGATGATCTTTAGGCGCAAGCGCCTTCGTAAAGATATCAGCTGTGTTGGCACCAGAGGCCAAGTGAACTAAGCGGGCCTGGCGGCGCTACTGTAGCTCGCGCAGGAGAAAGTACCGCAGCTGAATGTGCTTCGCTCTGCCCTCAAGCCGAGGCTCCTGACACAGGAGGATCATGGCCCTGTTGTTAGCGTACAGGACCGGGGCAGAGCTAGGCCGCTCACCTAAGTCAGTGAGCAAGAAGGTCAGCCAGCGGAGCTCCTGTGCCGCCATGGCACCAGCGTAGATCTCAGTCTATACAAACATTGTAGATAAACATGTTTGACAAGATAGGCCCTGGTACAAATGTGTGAAAGTATCTAAATACAAACGAGTAAAGAACCTCGATTTAACGCGTATAGTAATTATATCTAGCGTAAGAATGTTAAACAGAAGCATTATAGGAGAAAAATGAAGCTTGCGTCCAATGATATTGCAAGATGTTTTATATATTTCAGAAATTATTTGGCCAGATATATTGCTATTGGCTCAACATTCAATTAGGCTCTGTCAGAACTTTGTAATGCTTTATTTTTTCTAACCAAAGCGATTATCGTGATTTAAGAAATGTGCGTTTGACATCCGTCCCTACAAGGACGCGCTCATATTTAGTATGGTTATATCAGCCTCCCACGGCCCGCCACGTAGCCCTCGAATGTTGTTTTCTGACCGAACACGTCGGTGCAGCTCCCAGCCACAAAGATCAAACCAGAAGTCTGGTCTGGTCATTCCGTGGCCAAGTTCTAGATGTACATATTACAAGTTCACTCGCAAAATATTTCTCTCATCTGACTTCAGTTCAGCGCGCAGTGCAACTACCGTCAGTTTAGGAGGTCCAGCAGTCCCAGAAGCTAATAGCCATGGCTGCCACATCCTCCATCTGCGTCCTCACCAACGTTTATCCCGGCAAACCCTCCTTTTCCCTCTCGCTCTCTTGCTCCACCCCCACCCTCCGAGTACCGTCCGCCAATCTAGCATTCACGTCGCCTCACAGTCGGCGTGTTACAGCAGTTGCCCGTGCTGTCAGCTCTACTGAGTCAGGAGCCACAGGCGGCTCCACCTCAACCACAAATGCGTCTCCTCCGACCATTGTCATGTGTTTCCTTTCCCCAGATGGTGACACTGCCACGTCAGCCATCGAAGCAGCCACATGGGCCGCCGCTGCAGCTGAAACCCCCGATGCTGCGGATTCATCCGCAAAAGTGCCAGCTACCGCTCAGGTCGTCACCATCGGCAGCGGCGAGAAGAACTTGCGACGTGCGATGGCAGATGCGAAGGTCCCGTTGTACGACATGTACGGATCGGTCATGAATTGCGGTGGTGGGGGAAGCTGCGGGACGTGCCTGGTGGATATCGTTGCGGGTGCGGAGCTGTTGAGCGGACGTACCGAGGCGGAGGGTCGTTACTTGAAGAAACGGCCCGAGAGCTGGCGATTGGCATGCCAGACAATTGTGGGGGATAAGGAGAACAGTGGAAGGCTGGTGATTCAACGTATGCCGCAGAAGGTCAAGAAGTAAAGGGGTAGGTGGGACTGTTTGAAGCATCACCGTCTCTCTAGAAAGGCATGAGTGAGAAAAGCTCTTAGACTTGTCGGTTCTCTAAGCATGAATGCTCAGTCTGAAGGAACGTGCGAGGAACTTGCTGCACGGAGTGCACATTTCTGTGTAGTATGCGAAGGATTCGTTGGGTTACTCTATTTGTTGGATGTTCATGATTAAAGCGAGGGTCTCAAGAAGCAGAAAACCAAATCCAAAGGTTTTGGTTTCGGGGGGTATCTAAAATTGCGAGGTGTGGTGAGGGGTGCTGGTTGGGCGCTGTTACTGTTTCGCTAATTTCGGGTTGCGCTTCTTGAGACCCTCGCTTTAAGTAAAAAAGAAATTAATGGAATCCGTGTATACAGTTTGACTAGGCTGTATGGTGGCTAGAGACAGTAATTTTCCACACCAACCGTCAAACCGCTCATAGCGAGGCAGTGTTTGCGATTGAGGGTGATCTGACCGTCCAGCCTGCCACGACAAACAAAACTCACGTTGTTTTTGTCGTTTTACTCGTGCTTTACAAAAAGGAAGGTCTGGGAAAATTGTACCTGTGTAAAAAAATTCGCTCCTGTGAGACTCTGGCACTTAGGATATGTTAGGTTGCTTAGCAAACCGAATTCGAGACGCGGTCAGAATTGCCAATTCCAAACCCACCAGCAGCAGCAGCATGACCTTGCTCGCAACATTGCAGGAGCGAACCTACCTGTGGCTGCCCAGCGCCTGCGCCGTCAGTCCATTCCTCCTCTTCCCCCTCCCTCCCTCCCTCCCTTCCTCCCTCCAGCCACGCTCTTGCCAAAGCCCAGCCCACGACGACAACAACACATTCAGTACAGTACGTGGTTATGAATCATGCATGACTCGACTCGTTTCCAAGAGCTCCAACAACCAGAGGAACAGTTGTAGACTGGCACTAATCTTCTTCTGGAAACCTGCTTTTCTGTGCTGGTTTGCGGAGGAATTGCTGCCGCCGATTGTGACCTCGTGCCGCGAATTGAGAGTGCGAATGATTGCGAGCGAGTGACGTTTACAAGTGCCTCTGTCACAATGAAGCCACGAGAGGACCGACTCCAATGCCGCGAATCCCGGCAGAATCGCCGTAAATTCGACCACGGTCGCCTCCGTTACCGCCGTCCTCACTTCCAATCCCAACTCCCCCTCCTCCTCCTTCCGCTATTCGCGGCGCTATTAAACGCTTCTCCCGCGCACGGCGCCATTGAAGGCGGCGTCAATCACGCCGCATCTCACGCCGCCACTGACGGTGCTCTTACGAGCGCGGTTCCCTACAGCCGTCGCCGGCTAGTCGACGCTCTCCTGCCGTCAGCACTGCGGGAGCGAGGCGCGTCGGACTCGGACTCTGACTCGGACCGGCGTCAAGGCTCCGAGCACCAGAAGTGCGGAGAATCAGAGGAACGCGAGCAGCACGGTCAAGAGCGGCTGAAGGAAAGTCAGCAGCAGCCGTTGCCCGCCGCTGAGTATCGGAAAGACGACGTTGCCGTGGAGGACCAGGGGCACGAGCTGCTGAGTAGTAGTAGAATTAGTGGCCTTAATAGCCTCAGTACCACTAGTAGATTAAGTAATAGCCGAAGGGCCGAGAGTCTCCTACAGCAGCAGCCGTTGTCCCCGGCGGCGGCGGGCGGCACCCCCGGAAGTTTGGCTACGTTCAGTTTACTAGCGGCGCGGTTCGCCTCCTTTAGTAGCTTCGTGCGCGGCATCGCGTCGCGGTCTCTTGCGGTCAAGAGGAAGCCGAAGCTTCCCCCTAGGCCCCCTCCCCGCCCCCCTCCCAGACCCCCCCCTCGACCTCCCCCTAGGCCCCCTCCGCGCCCGCCTCCCCGTCCGCCCCCGAGGCCTCCCCCACGGCCTCCCCCGCGCCCGCCCTCTCCGCCTCCGCCGAAGCCACCGCGTCCGCCCCCACCTCCGTCCCCGCGCGCGCCTGCGCCGTCTCCGCCGCCTTCGCCTTCCCCGCCTGTGCTGGATGCAGCGTGCGCGACGGTGTGCTGCAGCAGCGCGCCGCAGCCGGGGGAGGGGGAAGCGGTTATGAAGAGTGAATGGCTGTCTTCCGCCATGCCCCATGGCGCAAGGGTAGGCGGAAGAGAGTGGGGGGCGGGGGGGAAAGTGGAGGAGGGTGCGGTAGGCGACGGAGGAGGGAGGCGGAATGTGGAGGTTTGTGTGTAACAACGTTGTCTTACTGTCACGTCCCACCCTTTCTCCCTCTCTGCCTACCTACCTCTCCCCCCCTCACCCCTTACCTTCTCCCTGCTCTCCTCTCGTTCCCTTACCCTCTACTCCCCTTTCTCCCCTTCTCCCCCCCCCTTTTTTCTCCCCCTCCTCCCCCCCTTCCGCCTCCCCTCGCCCACAGATCCAGCTGCGCAGTCCAACCTGGGGCACGTGGTGGGGGCCGGACAGCAACGGCAGCTGGTCTCAATAGTCAACACCCATCCTCCCTCCGCCCCTGCTTCCCTTCCCCACTCCCCCCCCCCCCTCTTCTCCCCCCCCCCCTCCCCCTCTACGCCCACAGATCCAACTGCGCAGTCCAACGTGGGGCACGTGGTGGGGGCCGGACAGCAACGGCAGCTGGTCGGGCTTCATTCTCGCGGGCAACAAGACCCGCCCGTCCGCCTGGGAGTTCTTCCGCGTCGAGAGGGCCGCTGGGCTTGCCCCCAACCAGGTGCGCGGACGCTGGGAGAAGGGATGGATGGGGAGGGGGGAGGGGATAGAGAGGAGGAGGGATAGGGGGGAGGAATGGAGAGCGGGTTTGAGAGCTGTGTGCACATCCATCCCGCTTCGTCTCCCCCTCCATCCTGATTCCTTTCACTCCCTTTCCTCTCTTCCTGCCACCCCCCCCTCTCTCCCACCCCACCTTCCCCCCCCCTCTCTCAGCTGCGCCTCATCACTCCATACTGGGCGATCGTCCGCACACATCCCCCCCCCCCCCGCGCACCCTGCTCCACTCCTATTACATCCACCCTTTCCTCCCCCCCTCCTTGCCCTTCTGCCCCTTCTGCCCCTCTGCCCCTCTCCCCCTCTCCCCCTCTCCCCCTCTCCCCCTCTCCCCCTCCCCCACTCTCTCTCAGCTCCGCCTCATGACTCTCTCCGGGGCGTTTGTGCGTGCAGGGGCCCCCTGCGCGCCCTGGTCCTTGACCTATGGCGCCATGGACGTCCCCCTCGCACGCCGACCTGGCAACTGTCTTCTCCATCGAGCAGCGCGGCGACTTCAAGGTGGCTTGAGAGCCCACCCAAAAGATACCTCTTCCTCTCTCCCTCCACGTCTGCCCCTGCCCCTGTCTTCCCCCCACTACCCCTCTCTCTCAGCTGCGACTCATCACTCTTTCCGGGGCGTTCGTCCGCGCAGGCCCCCCCTGCGCGCCCTGGTCCTTGACCTACGGCGTCATGGACACGTCCCCCTCGCGCGCCGACCCGGCCACCGTCTTCTCCATCGAGCAGCGCGGCGACTTCAAGGTGGCGTTCCGGGCGGCGGTGGACGGCATGGTGGTGAGCAGCGAGGGCAACGCGCTGTACCGGTGGACGAGCACGGCGAGCACGTGGGAGGAGTTTGAGATCCGCGAGGTGGCCCGCGTGCCTGTGATAAGAGGGGTGAACTTGGGCTCGTGGCTGGTGATTGAGAACTGGATGGTGCCGGGCTGGTACCCGAACCCGGCCCAGTGGAAGGATGGGACCGTGGTGAGTGGAGGGTGTGGGGGGTTGGGGAGATGTGGGGTTGGTGTGAGTGTGGGGCGTGGTGAGGGTGGGGTGTGCTCGAGCAATAGATGGAGGCTAAGTCGATAGATGGAGGGTAAGCCAATACAAGAGGCACCACCATCTTTAATCGTCCCACAGCCCTCCTCCTGTCACATCGACCGTTCCTCCCTCCTCACCATCTTTCTGCCATCCCTGCTCGCCCCTCCTCACCACCTGTCCCTTTGACCTCTGCACCTTTATGTGTCTGTCTGTGCGTGCGTGCATTCGTCTCTCCTCTGCGCAGTTTCGTCTTCAGCCACTCAAGCTCGCCACATGGGTCACTGCCACTAACGGCGGAGGCTCCCTGGTATATCCTCCTCCTCCCCCCCCACAACACCCCTCGCCCTCCCCCCCTCCCCCCCATCTCCAGCCTCCCCACCTGCCCATTGCGATTTCGTCCATGTCTCCCTCTTTGTTCCCGTTCCCGCCCCCCCTTGCCACGCCTCTTCTCATTGCGCGCACTTCCTTGCCACGCAGGTGACTTTTGAGTCTTCTGCGGGTGACTCAAAAGTCACCTTCGACTCAAAAGTCTCCCTCTCCCTCTCCGTTCCCGTTCCCCCTTGCCACGCCTCTTCTCATTGCGTGCACTTCCTTGCCTTCCCTCATCTTCTAATCACGACCATGGAGGTCAGTTGCTCCGACGCAGTTGTCGCAATCACTCGCTTTCACTCCCTCGCTTTCACTCCCTCGCTTTCACTCCGTCACCCATGGGTTTCTCGTCTTGGGCCTTTCCAGATCACGAGCACGGAGGCCAGCCGCACCAACATCTACAACTCCTTCCGAGCCATCATGAATGACGATGGCACCATGCGGGTATGGGCATAGCACCATGCGGGTATGCATGGGGGTTGGGGAGGGGACTGCTGGTGGAATGCCATGATCCCATAAAGCCATGTAGCTGTGTGATGTTGTGATGTGGTAATGCCGTAATGCGATCTGCGCTGCTGCTTTTTGAGTCGACTAAAAAATTACATAAGGCCATGTAGCTTTGTGATGGCCATGAGAGCCGCGGTGTAGGCCTTGCTTCTACAGCCTCTCTCATGCTACCACAGCCCCTCTCATGCTACCAGAGCCCCTCTCATGCTACCACAGCCCCTCTCATGCTACCACAGCCCCTCTCAAGACCCCTTTCATCCTAGCCTCCTTCGTTCCTCTTCTCACTCTACCATCCTTAATGCATATGGATGTATGTGTGCCATGCCCATGTGAATCTGCATCTGTGCACTTTCATGTGTATGTGTATGTGCATGTACGCATGCGCGCATATGTGCATATGTGCATGTGTGCATTTGGCATGTGTCCATGTGTCCATGTTTCCATCTGTGCATGGGTGCATGGGTGCATGTGTCGATGGGTGCATGGGTGCATATGTCCATGGGTGCATGGGTGCATGTGTCCTTGTATGCATGTGTGCATGTGTGCATGTGAGCATGTGTGCATGTATGCATGTGTGCATGAGTACATGTGACAATGTGTGCATGTGTTCATGTGTCCTTGTATGCATGTGTGCATGTGTCCATGTGTCCTTGTATGCATGTGTCCATGTGAGCATGTGTGCATGTGTCCATGTGTCCTTGTATGCATGTGTGCATGTGAGCATGTGTACATGTGTCCATGTGCCCTTGTATGCATGTGTGCATGAGCAGGTGCTAGTGGAGGGCCTGCAGTACTGGTCTCTAGCAGACAACGGAACGCTGGTAGCCACATCCATGGACCCACAACCCAGTGTATGTATGCTACCCAAACACAACTTGCAAGTGCTCGCATCGTATGGTGCAGGTTTGTGCCACATGCCGATGGACGTTACCGCACGCCCACTCCCATGCCCCTCGGCTTTCTCCTTCATCCCCTCCCTCTCCCCCACTCTTCTCACCAACAGGGCGGCAGCAATTTCACCTTTGACTTCAGCAACAGCAGCCACTCGCTCGCGCTCATTCTCGCACCCAACGGCAAATACCTCCTGCCCGCCTCCTCTGGTCTGCTCATAGCTGCGCTGGACCCTGATCTGCTTCCCGCGGCCTCTCGCTGGGAGTCCGCTGCCGCCTTTCGAGTCGAGCTCGTAAGTGGGACCAGAGTGTGTTGGGATGCTCTGTGTTGAGATTCTCTGTGGGGGTGTGTCTGTGGGTGATTGTGCCTGCTCATCTCCTCTCTGCTACTTCCCCTGCCTCCCCTACTGCTCATCTCCTCTGCTATTTTCTCCTCGAACCAAATCTCTTGTCTCAGCCAACCCCCACTCCCTCCCTTCCCCCCTTCCAACCCCCTTCCCCCCCCACCAGACCAACCAGGTGAACGGCGAGTGGCAGTACGCCAAGTCCCTGGGTGGGCCGCAAGCAGCAGCAGCGCCCATGGCATCCTTCCGCTCCGCCTACCTCTCCGAATCAGACTTCCAAACCATGGCGTCCCATAAAATCAACACCGTCCGCATCCCCGTGGGCTACTGGATAATGGAGAGCCCCTCTTTCTCCCCCTCCGACTACCCCTTTCCGACTGGCGCTCTGGCCTCCCTGGATTGGGCTTTTCGCATGGCGAATAAGTATGGGATCCGCGTGTGGTTCTCACCGCACGCTGTCTTCGGCACGAATTCGGGGTTCTTGGGCGGCCGGTCGGGATTGTGTGAGTTCTCCGTGCGAAACAACACCATGCGGACATTAGACATGATTGAGTTTTTAGTTAAGCGCTACGGCAACGACCCGGCTTTTCTCGGCCTTGGGCTCATGAACGAGCCGCTCGCGCCGTGGAATTATGGGCTAATGTCGGGAATATCCCTTGATTTACTGGCCTGGTACTACAAGCAAGCGTACGACGCTGTTCGGAAGTACTCCCCGTGCGCTTACATCGCTATAGAGGGCCGTGTGGGGAGCTCTATATGGGAGGTGCACTGGTTGCTGTACAGCACATGGCACACAAATATCATTCTAGAGCAGCACATGTACAACGTGTTCTATGGCTGGGAGGGGCTGACGCCGCAGCAGGAGGTAGACGAGACGCTCAGAGGACGCCTGGAAGAAATCAAAGGGTTGCAATCGGTGAGTTGGGAGGGGTGGGTGGGGAGGGGCGGGGAGGGGTGGGGAAGGGTGGAATAGGGGAAGGGGTGGGGTTGGGGGTTAGGACGTGGGGGCTAATACCGCAGCAGGAGGTGGACAAGACTCAGAGAGGACGCCTGGAAGAAATCAAAGGGATGCAATCGGTGCGTTGGAGGGAAGGGTGGGGAGACGGGGGGAAGGAGGGATGGGAGGGAGGAAGGGCTGGAGAGCGGGTGTGGTGGTGGGAAAATCCTGTCTGTGGTGGTGGGAAAATCCTGTCTCGGTAGGGGGACCAATGTCTTTCAGTCCATTCAACCCTCCTCTTTCCATCTCCTCCTTTCCTCCTTCTCCATTATCTCTTCCCTCCCTTTCGTTCCATCCAGTAAGGCATGCCTGTGCTAGTAGGAAAGTGGTGCCATACACCTCTCCCTCTCCTTCCTCTTGCCTCAACCTCCACCCCCCTCCCTCTCTCCTCTCCTCACTCACCTTTCCCTTCCTCCCTCCCTCTTCCCTCCCTCTCGTCCCACCCAGTGGGGAATGCCAGTACTGGTGGGCGAGTGGTGTCTATCCATGCGTAACCCTGACCCCTCGGTCACCGCGCAGTTTGGTCTCAATCAGCTCAAGGCCTTTGCCACTGCCAAGGCCGGCTGGTTCTTCTGGTCCTACAAGCACAACATCTCAGGTGGGTTGTCCTACAAGCACAACATCTCAGGTGGGTTGTCATACAAGCATAATGACTCACGGGGGTATTGAGGTATCTGTAAGCCAATTGAATGGTAATGGCAAGTAGTACGAGGTGAATTGTGAAGCGACCCGAAAGGGTTAGAGGGTCTTCTGGTCCTCACAGGCACACCTCCTCAGGTGAGAGATGAGAGATGAGAGAGATGAGAGATATATCTATGCTCCTGTGAAAAAAGAGAGGCACAGGCAGTCTTGAAGACTACCTGCCTGCTTCTTCTCGCTGTACCGTACTTCTGAGAAATCTCAAAAATACCATGCACAACAGCACAACAGCACAACAGCACAATACTGTACAAGCACAATAGCATCTCTCTGTCTGTCTTGTGTCATTTCTGAATCCTGCCGTTTGTCATCTTCCCAGCCTCCTTTCGTCCGTTTCTTCCTCCCTTGCTTTCTTTTCACAGTGCCCTCTATCCTGTGCTGCCTTTCCTTCTCCACACCTTGGCTCTTCCATCTTTCTCCATCCTCTCCCAGCAGTCCACCTCTCCCCTCTGCCCCATCATCTCATCACTCTGACCAAGCCCCCTCTTCTCAAACCCCCACCACACCATCTTCCCTCCCCCCCCCCGTCTGTCCCCTTCCTACCCATGCTAAACCACTGGTGTGGTCCAGGCTGGGATCATTGGAGCTTCGTGAAGAGCACAGCCAATGGATGGCTGCCACGTAAGCCAGATGGATCATGGTGGTAACAGCAGCCAGCTTCAATGTACAACGGATGCTGTACATATCAACTATTGTTTCGACTGCTTTTGACAAATGTTTCACAACAAGAATGATAATGGCATATTACCGTAATCCCCCGTATATAACACCCGCCGAAATAGTCACTCCGCGGGTGGTTTATGCGGGGGAGAGCTTATGATAGGGTGAATTTAGGAGAGCACCCGCTTTTCGGGGGTTGCATTTTACATAACACCCTCCTCGTTTTATGCAGCAAAGAACAGTATTTCGTAGTTTTTCAAGCTCAGCTCGATTGAGAAAAAAAACGAACAGGATGAAAAACGCAATGTCAACTACCATTAGCAGCGAAAAAACGGGCAGAAACATCAACACAAGTTGCAGCGCGAAATGGAAATGTCAGCAAAGGTCAAGACTCGGGAGGATTTCGACCGTCGAATTCGCGGATTCTGTTGTGATTTGACGGTCAGAATCCTCCCGAGCGAAATCCTCCCGTCGAAGTCGCGGATTCTGTCGCGATCATGACGGTCGCAGGTGCCGCACAAACCTGGCCTTGACTATAGCACTCAGCAGGGATTGGCCAACGACGATTGGTTTGTGAGTTTCGTCGTAGCGGATGCTGTACCTCGCTAACAGTCGCTCCGCGCAGTTTTGAACACACATGGCCTAAAACACTCAAATTCAAATTGCATTTTACATAACACATGGGCACTATATTTTTCCGGGCCACTGTTAACACCCAGTCATTTTTTTAGTGAATTTTTATATACACCATAGGGTGTTATATACGGGGGATTACGGTACCGCACTTATGATTCCTTATCTTCAACTCTCAATTGACCAGCGACGATATTAGGGCGAATTCCTACAAAGTAGGATCAGAATCAAGAATGTTTCTGAGCCCCCAGAAGTCAGGAATTTTTTCCTGATTCAGGAAAAAAACAGGGTGTTGAGGGGTACCAGCCCTGATTTGCTAGGGTTTTGTTTTTGGCATTTCCTGAAATTTCAGGGTTTTTTTGTAAGGGATATCTGTCAGCTGTGTCTTTTTTTGTAAGGGATTCTGAAATTTCAGGCTTGTATCGAGCATGGGTTCTGATTTTGTCAAAGGCGTGATTTGCGGGTCCCCCCAAAATTACAGCGATATGCGCATATTCCCCCATAAATCTGGCCTGACTGCCAGGTTCCTGCCTGCAGGCATCGTTCGGTGACTCACATGTTGCCGCGCTGCCTTACGGGATTGGTCCTTCTCAAAGTTGGGTTTGAGGGTCGGCCAGCCCACAGTTTGGCTGCACGGGTGGATTGGTTGCCCATGTAAATGCTGCCTGAATAGCTAATCACTGAAGGAAACGTATGCGCCAGCGGTGATGACCAAGCTTCCACCACCACACTCCGGTTCGACGCCGACGCGCTAGTTTCGGTCCGAATTCAGGAATCCAGGAAGCCAACTGTGCGTGGCTGGCAAACTGTTCGTGCCTTGCCATAATTCCCTTTCCCCCCTGCGTCTTCTTCATATGTTTCTTCCCACGGTAGAAAAAACCACTGCTTCAGCCTCTCCCAGCGTGACCTCCCCCCTGCAGTGTCGTTGTTTTACAACCCCTCCGTCACGTGTCTCTGCTCGTCAACCACCTTAGTGAGCCCCGTCCTCATGCATGAGTCAGGCGACATGGGATTGGACGATGATGGCGACGACAGCGCCAGTTACCGTGCCGGAGCCCGCACTGGGCTTGACATGCTCCTTTCGATGCTAGGTAGTTTCCCAAAGGCTCCTCGTAACCCTCCGACGGAACCGAACCCCCTGTGCGCCTCGCAGTCGGTCGCCTCAACTTCTCAAGCTGTTGTCGAGCCGACTTCCGCGCCTAGTCCGGGCCCATCGGTGGCTGATGCTTTTACCTGTAGTCCAGGTTCCGCCACCCCCGTGAAACCGGGCGGTCGATGCCGGCAAACCACCCAGTGGAATTTCCCAGGCGGTCACCTGACGACGCTCCGCCCCTCAGCCATGTGCGAAGACGACGACGACGCCAGCGATGGCGACGACCCTGCCGCTGCACCCAACAAGTCTCGATCGCCTGAGGATGTCTAGGGCGAAGCCCTCAGCAGGTTTAATACGCGGTGGTCCGAGCGGTTTCCCTGGCTTATGATTGTTAAGACTGACGCTGGATTCCCTGCGTTTAAATGCACTCTGTGCCTTGAGCATGCAGGACACAGAGGGAAAGCCGGCAAACGCGGCACAGGGCTGACGGACGCGCAGTTGCAGGCTTTCAACACGCACGCAGGGTCGGCCAAGCATCGCCTAGCCATGACGAAGCAGCAGGCGCTGCTGCAGGATGCAACCAACCAGATGCGGATCGACCAGCTTTCCCAAGCCGCAGACCTGGAGAAGGAATGTGTGATTGCGCTGCTTGACGCGCTCTACTTCTGCTGCAAAGGCAACAAGCCAATGGAAAACTGGATCAGGCTCGTGCGCTACCTCAGCAAACGTCGGCACGAGCACGTCCCCGAGCATACCTATGGCACGTACTACAGCGGGTATTCTTGTGTTTCGTTTAGTTTTGTTTTGCATGCATCTATCATGCATGACGAATGTCTATATTTCAGCATACTTATTATGCATATGCCCTTTGCAGCTGTAGTTATGGGTAGGAGGAGTTCACACAGTCCATGGCAACCTGGCTGCAGACAACACTGTTGGACCACCTTCTGAGGAGCCCGTTCATCGGCTTGAGCATCGATGAGAGCACAGAGTGCTGCTGCGAGAGCGCAATCACAGAGCGCAATCACCTCATCGTGTTTGCGCACTTCATCCGCGAGTACCGTCTCGCTTGTGAATACCTGGCCCTGCTGAGCGTCGACAAGGCCGACGCTGCTTCTCTGCTCGCTCTACTCCTGTCTCACCTCAACGCCATCGGTGTCGACCTCCGGCGGGTTGTGGGCATAAGCAACGATGGCGCTGCCGTGATGATGGGGTCGAAGGCTGGGCTTGTGACGCGGCTGCAGATTCCGCACTTGGTGTCGTGTCACTGTATTGCGCATAGGTGAGCCTTGTTGTTTACCGCTATTGTACCTCGGGTAAAGTGCACTGGTGGTTTCCGCATGTGCAATGTTTATTACCCCACTCCCTAGGCCCAACATGTACCCTTTTTTTTTTCGTTTTATCCCACCCTCCAGAGAGGCACTGGCAGCTAAAGCATCGGCGGATTCCTTGCCAGCGTTCAAGATGATTGATGATGTCATCAAGGAGCTCGCTGAGTACTTCGGACGCTCCGGCCCATGGCACCAGAGCTTCTTGGACCTGCATGGACATCTGATGGCTTCTTGGACATCTGATGGCTCTCCCGCGGTGAGGCTATCATTAGGTTAGTCAAGGTTCTACCCGCCATCGTCGTCATGCTCTCGGAGTGGACTGACACCCGGCTCTTCAGGATAGTGACAAGCTACCGCTTCTGGTTCATTGTCATGTTCCTTGCTGACGTACTGGAGAAGCTAAACATCCTCAACAAGTCCTTCCAGGAGCATCAGGTGAGGTTTTCGTTACTGTGCCATCGAGTCGTTACTAAATCACCCTGGTTATGTATACACACCTTCCCCGCCCTTCCTCCCCTCCTCCCCTTCTCCCCCGGCCCAACCTCAGCTGGAGTACTCGGCCGTCCACGTGCAGATCGTCCGCACAACAACCCTAATGCAGAGTCGCTACGTGGACGGAAAAAACTTCGGCAGGGGACCGAAAGACCGTCTCACCATCTTCCTCACCCGTCACGGCCCGTGCGGTTCTCGCGAGGTCACCGCTGAGGGTGTCAACTCCGACGGCCGTCCGGCTTCCTTCACCTTCGTGCTGCATCAAGATCGCTTGCCCGTATATCCGGGGGAGGGCGATCACGAAGCATGCCAGGATCTCTGCGTGGCCATGGCGACAGGCATGATGTCGAGCTTGAAGGAGCGGCTGGGTGATCTGGGAAAGCTCTCTGGCTGCCGCCTCTTCTCTGTCAACCTCTGGCCCCCTAACTGGGAGCGAGCTGCACGCAAGGCCCAGTGCCTTGACTGGTTCTTCTCCCTCGTTACACTTTACCGCGCAGATGAGGCAGAGGAGATTCTTCATGGCATTGACAAGCATGCAGCCATGAGGGAGCTGCCTCATTTCTGCCCCTTCATTGCTGCTCTTCCCCAAGCCGACCGAGGCTTTCACGTTGGGCTCACGGCCATGCTGAAGACACCAGACTGGCAGGATTCTTACCCGAATCTGACGAAGCTGAGGATGGCAGTGGTAGTGCTTCCTCTCAGCACTGTGGAGTGTGAGCGTGGATTCTCTGGGCAGAATGTGATTAAGAGCTGACTACGCGGCAGCCTTAAAGACACAAGGCTTAGTTACCTCATGTGCATGTCATTGTTCGACTACGACCCGGAGTATGATGCTGTGGTGGAGATCTGGCGCGCTTACAAGAAGCGTAAGCCCTTCAACAACACCCCTCAGGCTAAGCACGATGACTCGAAGAAGGGGAAGGGAGTATAAGAAGAGGCAGAGGGCGGTGTAGGTAGCGACAATGTAGTCAATCTTGATAATTTCTAGTAAAGTTATTTGATTTTCTATTTCCTCTTCATTTTGCCACTCAGGGAAAAAACTCCATCTATCTTTGTCCGTTCAGCATTTTTTGTCCCACACAATCCTGACCCCTAAGCAAAAAAAATTGGAACCTCTGAAAATTCAGGGAAAAAGCCAGGGATAGTCCTTCGCAATCCAGATGACTTAAAACCAATCTGAGGGCATGTTTCTGATCCTGCCGTTTTACAACCAGCATATCAACATTCTTGAGTGAGTGTCGCAAGTGAGTTTCGCAAGTGAGACTGGATGCCACGCGCGATCCAACGTGTACACCCTCAAACTTGTAGAAGTGAACCACGTGTTTAGGGTGGCCAGGATCTAGAGTTGGTGGAGCCACGACTAGAAAGTCAACAGAAGACTTCACACCTTGTACTGGTCCGAAATGACAAGGATAATAATAATGAGTGATAGAGGCATATTTATAGGAAGTACCTATTCGGAATGTATCAATTCGTAGTGTATCGCGATAATTCGCGTGACCCTTCGGGTGACGGTGACCATACGCACGAACCTATTGTTCACGCGTTGACTCGCTACTGCTGACGTCATCACGCACGTCCTTCCATATGAGGTGTTGCGCTACTAGTACAGTCTAAGTGTTATATCATGAATGCATAAGTAAACTTTGTCGAGTATACTTCAATACTCCCCTTCATTCCCGAGTGTATGTCTCTGGGCAAGTGTCGCCGCGTTTGCAGATCCCAACCAGGTTGAAGCGGTACTGAAACTTGCTGCGTGGGAGTTTCTTCGTCAGAAAATCAACGGCCATTTCTGTTGAAAGGAGTTTAGAAGCTAGGTAGTTATGAGAAGGCGAGAGGTTTTAGCTAGGGAGAAAAGTCACGAGAGTAAAGAGGCTTGGACTAGAAGAGAGAGGGATACAAGAAGGGTGTTGAACCCTCTACAGTAGGATCCAGTAATTATAGCACACCTACCAAGCCAACACAAATATATATATATATATATATATATGTAATTTGACACACCCCCTAGGCTTGGTAGTTGCAAGCCCACCCAACACGCAACACCCTCAAGCCCACGCACCCCCATGTCCTGCACGTCGACGCCACGGCAGCGCATAAAGGCTGTCGTGGGAGCACGATGTGACCGCCAC